ATTTCAAAATACTAAAAATATCTTACATCTTTTAACATCAAATTCTTCAAAAAAATACCTTATATTTTTGAACGAATGAAATATTAATTTAAATATTTTAAATTTTAAATTTATAAAATTTAGATTTAAATGTGAAATTTTAAAACTAATAATAGCTTCCATGTCCCAAGACCCCTGTTATTTAATATCATATTCTCTTTATTTTTAGATTTCAAAATTTTGAAGTATTATATTTTACAATTATTTAGGTTTAAATTGAATTAATTAATGAGTATAATAGATTTTTTATCTTAATAACTACCCTTTAATTTAACTCCCCCCCTCGTTTTTAGATTCATGTTTTTGAACATGGCTTCCCATGTTAACCTCTGTTATTTTAACTTTCCTGACATATGATCTTTCAATTTGCAAAATATGTCCCCTCAATATGTTCTTGAACTATCTTGATTTTTCCTCCCAGTCCTCCTTTGAGACAGCAATCACATGAAGGTGATTGTATAAACATCAGGGGATTATACACTACCCTTTGGTTCCTTCACGAAACAATCTTTAGCGATCTCACTAAGATAAACTAATATGTGTGATTTGTTATCTTAGCATCAATGAATTGTTAGAGATATAAACCATACACTATCAACTTGCGAAGAATAAAATAATTTTTTTTGATGAAATAATGTATACATGCAGTGGTCCCCTTTGACATTTCTCTACTATATATTATTATTTTCAAATTTTTATATTATTCATTCTACTTGTAGACCTCTTCTTTTTCAATGCATTGATAAGGAGTATTGAAGATTTATTTGCCTTCGTATTTATATATATTGTAAGAAAACGTGCCTCCACACACACACACACACACACACACACACACAGAGATTTCATTAATGATGCAAATCTTTCACCAACCCATGTGCTGTTTATTTTTTTCCTTAATTTCTGTAGTAATTGTCTTTTGAGTCTTCTTTGCTATTCTTTGTCTACATGATCTTATTTTAATCTGTAACTATCATCATATTTGGAAAGCATAGACATTTCTTTGCAAATTTTCTCTATAAATTATTTCTCGAGAGGAGGTTAAGCTGCATAACTTCACTTTCGACGTCCTCTCATTTGTAGTTGAAGCTGTCTGATTAATTCTTATAAATTATTAAACCATGTTGTATCATTTCACAAATTAATAAAAATTAATTATACATGACTTATATTAAAAAATTACTTTTATACATCCATGCATTGCACGGGATACTTACGAGTTAATTCCACAATTAACAGAAACAATAAAACTATTGCATTGGCGAGTTGTAAATTAACTTAGCATGAAATTAATAATATTCTGCACTAAACGAAAGAAAAATTAATAACATTCAGCAATGAACACTAAAACTAGTTTTGAACCGCGCTAACCCAACCTTTTTATTTTGCGTAGGAAGGCTCCCTGTCCCACATGTCAGAGAAAGCAGTGCTTCTGTCTCAAATCATCGCTTTTAAATTTCAGCCGCGCTCGTTTAAAACATCTACAAGTGGAACATTTATTAGTAATATTCAGCAACGAACACTAAGGGCCCGTTTAATTTTCCTATTTTTTATATTCAAAAAATGAAATTTTATTTTTAAAAAGTTAAGTTATTTGGTTAAAATATTTTATAAAAAAATACATTCAAAGAGTACATTCAAACAAAAACTGAAAGTGAATTTCTAAAATGTAACTATTTAAAACTTTTAAAAAGTAGGATGTTATTTTGACTATACTATTTCAAGTTTAATATCTCATTTTTTTATTTAAACAATAATTAATTCATTAAAAATGTAAATATTATTTCAATAATAATAATTAGGTATTAATTTTTTAGTATTGTAAATTGAATAATTAATCATGTTAATTTTTAGCATTAAAGTATAATAAAAATTACACATTTTTATCACAATTTTTAAAATTATAAATTAAAAAAATACAAATAAATAGAGATCAAATTTTTAACATTACAAATCAAAATTTATGTTATTTAAAATCTTTATCATATTTTTTAAATATTTAAAATATATTACATTTGTATAATAAAAATTGTAAATTATTATAAATCAATGTTTTTTTTAATAATTATATATTTAAAAGCATATTTTACTATCACAAACTAAATAACTTTCAATGTATCAAATTGATTTTTTTTAAAAATGTGCCAACCAAGATGGGTTTTTCAAAACCATGAGTGGATAGCATTTTTTGGGTGCATCTCATCTATACAGTTCAATTTTTTAACGGTGGGAAAGAGGGTTGCTGGTGCTTGTCCTGCGCAGGGTCTTAGACAAGGCGCGATCCTTTATCCCTCTATCTTTTCATCCTCGTGAGCAATGTTCTTTCAAGAATGATTGAAAAGGCTGGAGCAAGGGAGGATGTTATGGGGTATTCAATTAGCCCGTCCTTGTCCATCAATCACGCATAGTTTTTTTGTGGGTGATTTTGTCCTTTTGCGCGAGCTGAGTTGGATTGTTGTCGAAATCTCAAAAATGTTCTGGAATCATATTGTAAGGCTTCTGGCCAAAAAATCAATGCTGGCAAGTCATGTTTATATTTTTCCAGCAACACCCCCGTTTTAACTTTTAACTAATTAAGGATGAAATTGGTCATGTTTTTCAGATTACGAAGTGGATGCTCCATGTAGTTATTTAGGTTTACCCATTATGTGGTTGGGTAAAGGTTACATGGTTTGCTAGTTCCCTGTCGTTGGTTGTTACTGATTTAAATGTCTCCTCTATGAATCAATGGATTTCTTCATGGCTTTTGAATAAGAACATAGATCATTGGCAAAAAGCGCTTATAGCATCCACCTTCAAGCAGATTTGGAAAGCTAGATGCTCCCTCCCTTTTTTTTTTTTTTTGAAAGGTGAGCATGGATCCATGTGGGGAAATGCTTCTTGAATTTTGGGATGTGAATGGCTGGACTAAAAATTCTCTGCATCTGCTAAGGAATGATCTGAAAATGATTGATCGCCCTAAATGGGTTGCTCCTGTTGGCAACAATTTAAAAATTAATACTGATTATGCTTTTAATGAAAAAATAAACAGGGTTACTACTGTGTTTGTTATCAAGAAACACAATGGGTGGATTCTAAATAGATGGAGTGTCTTGCGTATGACCAGTTCAGCATACTAAAATTTTTTTTAGGTAAATTGAATATACTGCATCATTTGTGATTGGCTTAATAAAAACATGACATTTAAATTGTATTAAATATAAATTAATTTTGATATTAATAACAGTAAAGAAAGAAAAGATAAGACATCAAATTTGTATTCTGTTATAAGAATAAAATTAATTAAAAAATATCATACAAAATTTTATTTAAATTATTTGAAGTATTTTAATTGATCAGGTTATAAATAACGCGATGCATCCAATTTATTCAATTATTTTTCTAGCATACTCATTAAATATACACATGTATATTGAATATGGGGCAAATCAGCACGTGTCTAGCTTGATAATAACTTGATAAATTAAATACCAATATTCTAAATACAGTGTAGTAAATGTCCCATGCAACGAAAATACCATGATGCATACTTAGGTGTATTATTCAGGGCTAAAGGTCTAAAACAAATAATTTGACAAATTAGGCTATAAATGTCGAGGCGATGTGTTCCCCTGTATATCAAAGATTATATTCAAATCAAGGTCTTACATGTTACTCTCTCCCTCCAAATTGTAATATAAAGTATTTTTTAAAAATTTTATTCGATCCAAAATATAGGATATTGGGTAATTTGTATAATTGATTTTTCATATATACCCCTAGCTATTTCATTCATTTCATTTTTTGAAAAATCATCCATTAAAAATTTTAATTGTCATTATCAAGAATCAAGACACTTATATATAATTTTTTTACCATAATTAAACTACTTATATATGATGTTTAACGAGGGTATAATTAAAAAGATATATTTTTTGTAACTTTTAGGTTTCAATTAACATTTTTTAAAATCATAAATTAATTATCAGTGTTTTATATTATGGTCTAGGAGGACAACCAAAGATCAAAAGTATGCTGAGTGCATTTACGGCATTCTTATTTGGAATTATTGAATGCCGGGGACACTTTTTAATCTACATGGGACGTGCATGAATGATATTTTCTATGTTATAAGATATAAAAAAATAATAATGAACTCACACAGTTTAAAAGAAATGGTTAAATATAATAATTATGTTTAAAATTAAAAAATTTGAGTTAAATTATCCTTCTAATTAAAATAGATTCTTCTAACAAGGAACAATTTGAAAAAATGTGATAAATATTTTTAAAAATTTATAATTTTATCTTTAAATAAAAACAAAAAGGTATATGATGATTTCATTCTCTTGTGTTTAAAAATTCACTGTCTGACTGAACTGCGAATCGTAATATTTGGATGTTTCGTCTCATTCTTTGTTCTCATCATGTTGTTCATCGGCAACGCTGAGCACTTTCACATGCCATCAGCCTTCGTACACTTTCACATGCCATCAGCCTTCGTACAATGCTTCTCTCTTCCCATTTACCAAAGTTTACCACCAGTCATTATATTTTTGATGATGCATTAGGGTCACGGGCCGCGCTACATGGAAGTCAAGGGGGTAAATGCAACTTTTAGATTTAGAAAAAAGTTACAAAAGAGATTCATATATTCTAATATTTTGCATCTTTTGACTTAAATATTTTACACTCTTTAATTTAACTTCTAAGGTTTTAGGTTTAAATTATTATTATTATTTTTAATTATTAATTTTAAAAATGTTGCATCCTAGACTTCTAGTACCGCCACTGCATGGGATCAAATCCGCCACGTGATTCCATCATTATCATCGTCGTCTTTAATTTGTTTTGGCTTATTCCAAGCTCAACTTTGATCCATATACACGATTAATCATTTCAATATAACGCGCACCACGTACATCACGCGCTCACATCATCTGCCTTCTCCAAGCTCACTAGCTAACCTCATCAGGAGTCAGGACTGGGGTTATATTCATGTCTCTGTCTATATATACTCAAGCACACACACACAAGCCTGTGTGAGGACTGAGCGGAGATATCGGGAGCAGATTAAACTTGTACGTACTGAATTGAACCATAAGAAGAAACGTCAATGGATCCGCGGACCAGTCAGGGACGGAAGAAGGAACCTTGCCGAGGAGCCTGGAAACCCGAGGAAGACAAGAAACTGGTTCAAATCATTGAATTACATGGCCCCAAGAGGTGGAAGCTTATTGCAGCCAAAGCAGGTATCTGTGTATATATTCCAAATTAAAAACTGCGCGCGCGCATTCCTCATCATTCGATATTTTGTTTTGCTTGACAAGAGCTGCATGTGTCATATAATGCTGTAACAGGTCTGAATCGATGCGGCAAGAGTTGCAGACTGAGATGGTTAAATTACCTCAGACCCAATATCAAGAGAGGCAATATATCAGACCAAGAGGAGGACTTGATACTCAGGCTTCACAAACTCCTAGGCAACAGGTAACATAAATATATATAAAAGCCATGTTTACATAATAGTCGAGTCCATTTTCTTGTGGCTCTCACGGTAATATATATCCTAGCTTGGTCATGCGCATGTACTAGGTGGTCTTTGATAGCTGGAAGACTCCCGGGTCGAACTGATAATGAGATTAAGAATTACTGGAACTCTCATTTGAGCAAGAAGATAAGTCCGAGAAAACAGAACAGAGGTTTCAAAAAAGATTTAACGCCGGAGATAACCACATCACCCAAGAAAGCTGCACTTAGTGTTAGTAATGAAGAGCAAGGTAACACTAAGGTGACGGAGGACTCGAAGTCTGGCTTTGTCGAAGACCGTGAATTGTTCATTCATTGTAGCAGCGAAGGACCGATAAATTTGGAATGGGTGGGCAAGTTTCTTGAAATGGACGAAACTTGTTTTGGATTTGCAGATCAGTGAACTCCGTTAACTTTCCTAGTTTCCTTCTTGTCTGTCAAAGTTTCTGTTTCAGTGTTTGATGTCTGGTTTAATTAGGGAGGGGATCGGATTATTCCGTGGTTTAAAAACAACCACCATTGTTGCGTAATTGATGTCTCTTCTTCTGTGTCTCGGAATATTAAAGAAGAAAAGCCTTGTAATCAAATAACTAGTTGGAATTAATTTGAGAACGTAGCTAGAAAGGAAAATCCTTGGAAAACGCCAAGCCACGTACACGACAGAAAGATGCAAACACCTAATGGTAACATGTTCTCTTGCAATTCTGAAAAGGGAAAGGAGAAAAGACGGGTTTATAAAAAGGAGGCGATTAACAATATGGAAAGATTTCAAAATTCCAATAAGGGTTCGTCTCTATCATACGTCTGGTGCGGGAGAAATTTTTTTAAAAATAAACTCGTTGTATCACATCACTCATAAACCATCTAATAAAATTATATCAATTCAATTAAATAAAATTTTATATATAATTATTTTTAATAATTTTATTTTTATAATAAAATGTCTATTTAATTTCTTGCATTCTTTTTCCCTGCTGTTATTAATATTAAAATCAATTTATATTCAATATGATTTGAATGTCATGTTTTTGTTAAATGAATTATAAATAATATGACGTACTTGATCTATCTAATAATTTCTCACGTAGGAGGAGGATCTAGAATAAAACATGAGGGGCCGTGAAAAGTAGCAAGTGACTCAAAGTAACCGCATGCATGAATGTTAATGGAATGTTTGAATACGTGAATAATGAATTTGGCAGATGACGAAATTTCATCGTCGCAAAGAAATGTTTTAGGCACGCTCTGCATAGTGGCATGGCGGCACCTAGCATTCACGAACGGTGTTAATTTAATATTTATTGTCATTTATCGGACAATAATCAACGTAACATTGTGTGTGTGTATATATATATGTATCTAATCAAAATAAAATATACTGTATTATTGTCTACTGAACTCTTTGTGTACTACGTTTTTTTTTTAATTGCACGGGCTGGGATCAAATTAATCTAGTCAACTCCAAAAATAAAAACAGAAATGGAGATCAATGGGAATTGCGGTAATTAATAGACACGAGAAAATCAAGCTCAGAGAGAACACGTCAGCAGTGTTCACGTACAGGGGGAAATTCAGCTACATGTTACACTGGACCAGCTGATTAGTCTTGGAACCCCAACCCGCCATTGTTATCACTTGATGCGTACTGAATATCTTTTGGAAATTAAACAACGTCGCTTATAAATGTCACTGTGGTGGACTTCACGGTCAATTGCTAGAGCTTCAAGCTTGCTTGGGTTCTCCTCTAAGAAAGAGACCTAGTCACAGAGCAGTTTAGACATCCCAAGTGAAAAGGTTATGAGATGAGACAATTGCTATGGTCTTTCCACTGATTCCTCGCCGGAATCTCAAGTACTCATCATGGAATGCCCATATTTGAATTGAAATTCAGCAGTGTGAATGAATACATTTTGACCCAAAAAAAGCTGACGGCGCCTGGCATGAAAAAAGTGCACCCTCACATAATAGTTATTGCATACAATTCAATAATTATGGAATATACTTTTAAATCTTCAACACTACTACATTATTACACGTAATATAGAGGGAGAACTTAAGTCCGAAAAGAATCATTTTATTTCAATAAAATCTCAATAAATTTCAAAATATGAAAGTTTTTGTTCCTTAATTAATTTTTTGACAAAATTTTAAACTTACAAATTTACAATATATTTTCTAAAATCTGCAACTCCTTCTACTTTGATTTACAACTCACTTTCCTTTTTTAATTTAAGAATACAATTTTTTTATAAAAACACAAAATTTTAATATTGAATTTATAAAATTATTTATTCAGCTCCAGAAATTTGCAACTCACTTTCTTGAATTTTCAACTTCATCTACTGCAATTTACAACTATGCATCCCAATTTTATTTATGAAAACAATCTCAACATTTATTTTTCTCATGAAAAATTACTCATTCAATTTCAAGATTTTGTAACTTACTCTCTATAGTTTGTAATTTCATTTACCTTAGTTTGCAATTCAAGTTTTGAATTTTATTTAAAAAATTCAAGATTTCAACTTTGAATTCATAGCATTATTTTGTGAGCTATAGGTATTTACAACTTTATATCCTAATTTTATTTACAAACACAATTTCAATATTAATATTATTTATGAATTTCTAAATAATATTTGAAATTCAAGCTGTAAACTAAGGTAAATAGAATTACACATTAGGTAAAGTAGATTGCAAATTCTTGGAATTGAACAAATAATTTCTCATGAGAAAAATAAATATTGAGATTATATTCATAAATAAATTTGGGATATAGAGCCGCAAATATGAGAGAATAAATGGCAAATTTTGGGAACTAAATAAATAATCCTATAAGATTTAATGTTAAAATTTTGTGTTTTTTTATAAAACAATTGTGTTCTTAAATTAGATTTGAAAGCCAAGTTGTAAATTAAATTAGAAGGAATTTCAAATTTCAAAAAATAGTTACAAATTTGGACGTTTATATTATAACATAAAAAAAGTTTCACATATAAAGATTAGAAGATAGATTATTAATATATAAATTTTAAAAATACCCAACTAAATGGTTTAAGTTATTTTATAGAGTATATTATCCTTAAATATATTTAACATAAAAAATATAATATAATATCAAGAGTTACTTGATTTGGGACAAAAAAGAAAAAGAAAATAAATGAAAGAACGAAAGATTAAAAATAGAGAGAGGGAGGAGGAGAAGGATAAATTGAATAAATATGAAGCTTTTAAGACAAAAAAAAAGCATACTTTTAAAGATTAAAAGATAGATTATAATTATAAATATATAAGTTGAGGAAGTATCCAATTAAAAGCCTTAAGCTATTGGAGTATGCTATCCTTGAGCATACCTAACATAAGAAATCTAGCAGTTTAAAATTTAGTTAAAAGATCAATTAATAAGGATCCAAAACTTCCTTCGTATTTTGAATTTCATTGGAACCTTGCTGAAATAAAATGATTCAATTGGGACATAAGTGTCATTCTTCCTAATAAAAAATAAACTGTAAAAATTATAATAGATCGCGTTATTCATAACCTGTAAATTGTGCGATTCATTCTGACGTCTAATAAAAACATAAGACGTAATCCTTGGATACCCCAAAACTTGCATGGAAAAAAGAATTGTTTATAGCTTCTAATTAAGAATTTTAATTCACCTTCTCTGATTTGGACTACTCTTTAACAAGTTTGAAACTATGCAATTATAATGATATTATAGAAGCATGGAAGAAAGTAGAAACGTGAAGAATCTCAACTTTTATCAGAGATGGAAAGCTTGTTGACTGAGTACACAGGCAGAGGTTTCAGTGGCCTCTTCGCAGAGAAAAAACAAGCAGCGAATGCTTCATTATATATCGACTACATTTTCTCTGATTTAAGTCTAAAGCCTCTTCGGTTCAACTTTAAGGATTAGCTGTGAGAACATTTGAGAAAATTTCTAGGAAGAAATGCGCCAAGTTGCTTCACAATGAACATGCAAGCAGTAGCAAGGGAGGTTCATGATATGATGAGGGCACAAGCTGGAGAACAGTCTGTATCCTCAACTTTAGTAAAGTTCAAGATTCTCCTGGCATTTATCATAACTTTTTCTTTTGTTTCATTCATTCCTGCGAAGGCAGAAACAGTGGACATTCCTGTACCAAGTTTGCTAGTACAAACTGTATTTTAGTGCTTGTTAACCAACCATGTGCAATGATGAACAATAAATCAACGAGTTTAAAATGATTTAAGACCATAGAATTTTATACAAGTGCTTTCAGAACGAGAGGACGCGTCGGAAGCACAAATACTGAGACTTTCTGCTCATTAACTTAGTGCGATCGATAGCACAAATGATATTAATACCCATCCCAACAGGAAGTACCCTACCACTCTGGTTGGTCCGTCTTCCTCTGGCTCCTGTCATGAAACGAAGCATCATTACATTCTAGTTTATATGTAATTTAATTCTTTTTTTTTTTTACATTTTTATATGTGCACGGTAATTTGCTCCAATACGCAGTACTCGTTCTGGGATATTAATTAAACATATTCAACATTACGCTGATAAAGAATTTCAAGTGTTTTTAGTTCAGAATCATGATTGAAGGGACAGAACGAAGAAGAAATACCTGCAGAGGAGGAGTGCCTTGAGGGGTTTGCGTTATGTCAACCTCGAAGGGCCAAACGTATTGATCTGTATTCTCCGACCTAGCCAAGCTCCAGTCATACATTCTTCTCTCTTCTTTAGACGATAAAACTGAATATGATTCCTATCATTCATTAGAGATGACATACCAAATCACTGATGATCTCTCGAAACCATCTAGCTTTAAATATATGTGAATAAATTACAGTTACATACATATATATACTACTCACTGACTTTGAGATGTTCCAGTTTCTTGTTCAGTTCGTCTTCCTCTAACCCTTCATTCTTCAACTCCTCAACCTTGCTATCATATGCTACTGCCACCTGTTGAATATCAATGAGTTGAAAACTCGAACAGGGAAAACGAAAGCAGCGCAATGAAAGAATGGTCTTCCTCTTCTCACTACCTTTTCGTATGAACTTCCTCTGGGAATGCCGAGTCTACCATAATGGTCAACATCTGTAATCGCTGCATTCTAAAATAAAACCTAATCAATGGACTAACAGAAGAAGAGGAGAGAAGGGATTTAAATCAAAAGGAAGACGGAATTACGTATGCCACGGAGAGCCCTTTCGACATTAAGAGCAGAAATCAGAGAGGAAGATTCTTCGGGAACTTCAATGGCAGTCTCCGAATCGGATTGTGTGGCAGTGGCGTCCGGCGAGGAATCACTAGCAACGGAGCATCTGATGCAAAATCTACGGGGCTTGGCTCTGAAGCCGACAAAAATTGAGGATCCAAACTTGGTTTCCTGAGTAGTATGAACATTGTTGCCGGGGATGGACACCGTGGCGGTGGTGGACAACACAGCCATTTCCTCTCTGTGCCTCAGCCAAGTAAGCAACCTTCTATTCTAATTCTACGCCCCCCATCACTTATCCGTTAGCCAAATGCGACCCCCTCCTCTCGCCAATTAGAGTTTAGGACATCGTCTGTCGATATGATGTTTAAATAAAATCCACCATCTATGCACTAAGCCTCAACGAAGTCGTTGTAGTATAGTGGTGAGTATTCCCGCCTGTCACGCGGGTGACCCGGGTTCGATCCCCGGCAACGGCGCGGTTTTAAAATTTTGGGTTAGAGTCTGTAATTTAAACAAAGATTTGGATCATGCACATTCCGCAAATTTTTTTTGGGCCCTCGTATGCCGCTTTTCCTTTGTTGGCCCAATAAGTTTAATTGGTTCAAGACTTACATGCAGGTTCACTGTTCCCAACGGGTAACAGCCACTCCATTTCTTCCAGCCACCCTGATTCACAACTTTTCAATGATTATTATTATTATTCATCTACCAGGAAAAAAAAAAAAATTCCAATGACTTGCCAAGCGCAAATTCACTCCTTATTCCTTTTGCTCTCTGTTCACTTGGATTTCATTTTTTAATCGTATTTTCTCAGACCCTAAGCTTATGGTAGACATTTCCTCTTGTGTTGACTCTGGCTTTTTGCTGTCGGTTCTTAATGATATATGATTCTCTCCCCCACCCCCCCCACAAAAAAAAAAAAAAAGCTTATGGTATGATTTTCCTCATAAGAAAGTACGTTTTGCTTTTGTTTATCTATGATCTGCGTAAAAATAAATAAATAAATCATACAGATTTAATTAACTCTATTAAAATTATACGCATTATATTTCTTCTTTTATATATTATCTTTGTTTATGCATGTAGTAACTCTTTGAAATTTCATAATTTTGAATAAAAAATTGACGGTGAGCTAATCAGGCATGGGCTTAAGTTTTAACAGGGGTGGTGAAAATATCCTGAAAAATATGCAATAAAAAAAATCCAGAAAAAGACAAATCATGTTGATCCTCCATATATGGCCGTAGCTAGCCTGCTTTATTTTCATTTTTAAGACAACTACTGAATTTATATTTTTAAGAAATGGATGATATACAATGGAAGTGGATGAGTGGCCGGAGGCCATGTTAATGTTAGTGTGCTGTCGCACGAAACGTTGAGTCTGAAGTAGTAACAGGCTAATAGCACGCTCCACTACCACTTCCACGCGCCCGCGCTTTATAGTGCTTCTCTTATGCGCTTCTTGGTGGTATTTCATTATTTATCATCAAGTATCAAATCCTCCGAATGCAAATTAAATATCCAAGTGCGTGCATGATACTGTTAATCACGTATCAGACAGTTGTCTTAAAACTTACGGTTTCAAATGCGTTCTTCTGTTGCGTGGCTGACGTGAATGTACGTATATATGCTGTTATAACTTATAACTGATACGATTAACATAGCCAGTGGACTCTAGTATTATGGGAATATTAGCACATCTACGCAAACTGATAAAAGAGATTGCACTCACTTCAGGACGATTGCTTCGTTATGATTTTTTAGGGGCTCGTTTGGTGACCGCCATGTAAACTTCTCTGATATGCTTTAGAAATTAGAAAGATTGGTAACGAGCTCACTGTAGTTTTCTGGTTTTATGTATTTTTTTAATGGAAAAATTAGGAATAGGTCCCATATAGCATATTTATTCAAATGGATTTGTAAAATTCAGAAATTACAATCAAATTGAGATTGAGTATATATTTGTAGTTGGAATGCAAAGATAATGCTGCCTTTATTAATTTGGCTCTCACTTGTAACTACAACTTCAAAATTTATAAGTAAAAAACTGTAATTCATGAGTTGAATTTCCCTTTTAATGCTTAACATTGCATGTAATCTCCGTAGAATTAATTATGCCTATTTCAAGCTATAATTGGAATTTAAGGAAAGCAATGGAGCTCATTTGGGATTTACATATTTAGCTTACAAGTTGTTTAATGTTATGCTTGATTAATAAAGCAATTGACAATTAATTTGGCCTTCATTATAGCTTCGCAATTTACAACTAAAATTCATAATTTATAAGTCAAATTTATTATTTAATGTTTGATGTGACATGGAGTATTTGTAAAGTGCTCGATGTTCAAAACTAAACAAAGCTCATTCAGGATTTACACGTTTATCACACAAGTTGTTTAAAGTTAGATTGAATTAATAAAGCTCTTAACGATTAATTTGGCTTGTACTTATAAGTTACAATTGCAACTTCATACTCTCTTTGTTCTTATGTATAAAAAATTTTTTAAAATTTTTTTGTCCCCTAAACATAAGGGGTTGTCGGCATATTTTTAATAAATATACCATTATATCCTTGTTAAATGAGAAAAAAAAGTAGTACTCTCATTAATTTACCCTGAAAAAAGAGATTTATTTTTTATTTATAATAATTATGGACAAAATTAAAATGTTGTTGTGCTTTTAATTAGATAAACAATTTTTATTAATTTACGTGATTCAATTAAAAATATTTTATATATATAGAGACGGAAGGAGTAATTTACAAGCAAAAGCTCATAATTTACAAGTTAAATTTTTCATTTAACACTTGATATAGTATGGGGTTTTCATAGAGTTAATCATGGCTATTTAAGGCTATAATTAACATGGGGATGTAAAATTCATAATTTATCTTATAGCTATAACTTTAAGTAGGCACAATTAATTTTCTGAGGTTTTCATCTTATATCAAGCATTAAATAAAAATTTTGACTCGTGAATTATAAAATTTTATTTATAAATAGTGAAGTTTTAGTTATACGTGAAAGCCAAATTAATAAGTATAATATTATATTTGCACCCCAACCTCAAATTGTATTCAGGTTTTAAGGAATTTGTTTATAATTTTTAAATTTTATAAGACTTATTTATAAATAAATTTTTTGTGTGAGACTTATTTTTATTTTTTTTTAATTTCAATATTTATATGGAATTACAGATCATAGCCCTGCAATACGTACGTTACCCACACCGCCAGAGGGTCATGCGGATGGCATGGCACTGGCGTGTCTGATCAGGTGCAAGTAACTTACCTATAAAAGGAAGACCTTCTCACGTTTCCCTCCCTGCTCTGCGCGTTACACTTGTCCGGTTCTCCCTTCGCAATTTAACCATGGGGGAGGCTCCCCAGGTTCTCTACGTCACTAGCTTCTCTAAATTGATTCCATTTTCAAACTCGCCGGCAATATGGATCGTGATTCTCCCGTCTGGTTTGAGGAAATCCTCGACGCTGATCTCAAATGGTCTTTTGCTCTCAATAGGTTCTGCAGTCCTCTCTTTCTTTTAAATCAATCTTTGCACCTTGCCGCATCGATCTGTCTTTTACACTCGGTGCCAGTTTGGTTTGCATCCAGAATCGATTTTTAAAACAAAATTAGCCAAACAGCATAATCGATTAAACATGCTAACATGGATTTTTTTTTTTTGTTAATCTATTGATACTAGCTTCTGGTTCCCATTTTACCATGTTAATAATAAATAATTTGTCAATAATTCATAATTGTGTTAAATATAGTTTAACAAATTTATTAATATTAAATATAACTTTATCAATAATTTAATTTTGAAAAACAATGTTTTTATAATAATTTATACAACTAAAATTAATTTCGATATCCAATAGATTACGTTATAATATAATCAATTATGATTAAAATATACTCTTTTTGTTAAAAAAATAAGGCATTTTTAACCGAATTTTATCCCCCAATAAAATAGTTACCTATTTTTTAACTAACCATATTTTTTTATATTTACTTTTATTAAACACTTTATAATAAATATAAAGTCATTATCAATAGTGACACTTTTGAAAAAAGACAATGATTACACCTTTAAAGACTAAAAATGCCTTACTTTTTTAAACATCTAATTCTTCAAAAAATACTTTATATTTTTAAATGAAAGAAGTATTATTTAATTAATTATTTTCATAATTTATTATATCTAATTGAAATACAAACGAGCATTCATTCATTTCATTTTTTCAGTGTGCTCCATAAAGGGAATAGCTTTTATCAGGACATAGCTCTCTTAGACACCAAACATTTTGGGAAGGTCTGGTTAATTCCGTCAATCAATCTTCTTCTAAACTTCGATTTCTTCGGATTATGCAGAGGGATAACAGAATTATTAACTCAGTTGTTGTGAACAACATTTAGGTGCTGGTGATTGATGGGAAGATGCAGAGTGCTGAAAAGGATGAATTCGTTTATCACGAATGCTTGATTCATCCCGCTCTCTTATGCCACTCCGAGTAAGTTTCAGTTATATATCGATTTAAACATATTCAATTACGCATATGCGTTTTGTGCAAACCTCCCCATCTTACAAATCGGTTCATAGCCGTACGTCAGCAGGTGCATGTATTGAGCATCAGATATATGTATTAGGTGTGATTAGAAATTAATGAATGAACTAGTTGACATACTGGAAAGCCCTGATAAAATATTTCAGAAATCCCGTGCTCATAATTTTGAGTTATAGTACATGATCCCCCCCTTCTCTCGTGCCCCCCAGCTCACCCATTCACCAACAAATTTTTTTTTTTTTTTTACGTCATTATTGTGATCGGTTAGATCGAGTTCGATAGTCATAGGCAGCCTGTATAAAACAGTTCACTTAAAAGCCCGCATGTGCTATCAGATATTATCTTCACAATTTAGCGTCCAATTGTAACAAGTTTAACGGAGGATTACGCCTCTTCTTCCTGCACTGAAGGGCTCTTTGAAGCCTTTTGACTTAGATGAAAAGGCAAATGGTAATGTTATTTAGTACTGTGGCAGCCCCAGAACCGTCTTTATAATGGGAGGTGGCGAAGGCTCTTCTGCGAGAGAAGCACTAAAACACAAGTCAATAGAGAGAGTGGTCATGTGTGACATAGACCAGGTTACTGCTGCACGACATTCGCTCCTGAGCCGTCCATCTAATCACAAGTGTTATCATACGATTGTTGAATATATAATTTTAGGATCGAAGTATTAACAGTTCAAAATAGATCTCATTTTTTCAGGAGGTGGTAGATTTTTGCCGAACATACTTAACGGTTAATGAGAAAGCCTTTTCTCATCAGAAGCTTGACCTCGTCATCAAGGATGCCAAGTAAATATTCTTTCTTTGCATGTCATCAAGGAGGTGGTAAATATTCTATATATCCTTCGCTTTATTTAGGACATATGTTCTTGACCACTCTTTGAAATAATTAAAAGCCAAGAGGTCAGTTTTCTCACCATTATTTATTAGTTAACACTACAAAGTATTTTCCATTGCTTCCACAGAATTATTTACAATTATACATGTTCTTTATTTTCAAAATTAATGAGGCTTGAGTATTGATATAAACGTCACGTTGAAGGGCTGACTTACAGGAGAGAAACGAGAAGTTTGATATCATTGTAGGAGACTTGACAGACCCTGTTGAAGGAGGACCTTGCTACCAACTCTATACTAAATCCTTCTATGAGGAAATACTCAAGCTTAAGCTTAATGAGAGAGGCATTTTTGTTACTCAAGTAGGTTATTAGGAACAAGTTTATTTGGTGAGAAGATGTAGCCAGTGATAACTTTCAGCAAATTCTCGTCTTTCCAGGCTGGACCCGCAGGCATCTTCACCCACAAGGAGGTCTTCACCTCCATCTATAATACAATCAAACAAGCCTTTAAATGTAAGACTCTAATTCGAACCTCTTGCTTAGCTATTCAGATTATTTTGAGAAGTCAATGAATAGCTAAGCCAACAGAACGCAAGAACAGATTGTTCAGTTTCAAGATTTCAATTAAAATCAAGATTTTCTCCCTTATCATGTCTTCTGCAGATGTGATGGCATACACAGCTCACGTACCATCTTTTGCTGATACTTGGGGATGGGTTATGGTATGCAAAAAGATGGCTTTGCTCTAATAAAATTGAGAATAGTTGGAGGTTTAACGCTGAGTTATGATCATCCATATTCATGTGAATCTCTACACTTCCTCTTAGGCTTCGGACCATCCGTTCTTGATTGGCGCTGAGGAAATGGACAAAAGAATTGAGCAAAGGATAGATGGAGAACTGCTCTATCTTAACGGCGCCACGTTTCACTCCTCTGCTACCATGAACAAGACCGTCTCTCAATCGTGAGTTCATTTTTCTGTCAAGTCACATTCAAAGTCAATTTCTCTACGCAAATTTAAATTTTCATACTCCACATCTTTTAGAGACAAGATGTTTACTTTCAATTCACAAACGAGACGGTAACTTGTAATGCCTTTACTGGACCTTCTTAGAAATTGTTATATGAAGAATTTGGCGATAACTATCACCACCATGTTAGTCAATGGATTTTAACATCCACGTCGTTGTTTTTCTTCAGGTTGCTAGATGAAACTCACGTGTACACAGAAGAGAATCCTCGATTCATTGATGGACATGGTTTAGGCTCCAGGGCGATTCGAGACTGAGGTCTGACACCTCAAGTTGAAGGAATGGCTAAACAGAGAAAAGGAGGGGGGGTAGGGTTGGATGTGCTAAACAAATAGTTTAAGAATGAAAGCCAAAGAAATCAATTAGCAATTTACTATTGTTTCATTGAATTGGTTTGTAAAAATTGTCGTTAGTTTCGCATGGCGGCTTCAATGGTTTCTCATCCATGAACTCTTGACCATTTTGATATTATGTGAATGAATTTTCAGGCATTCCTTCAGACCGTTATTTTATTTTATCGGGGACCGCCATCCGGACTCTGGTTCATTGGACTTCTTGACAATTATGATCTACTTGCCTCTTTCAGATGCATTTGCATATAGACTTGTTAACTTTATTAAATAAAAATTAGAAGAGAGAGAGAAAATAATAGCCAAACAGGTTACGTGGCAGAGATAGAGAGATCAGAGTACTGATGCTATGAGCAATGCATCAAGGACGGCTGGTTTGAAGTGTTCTGTGGGCACCAAGCCGCCAAAGGTTATAGGGAAAGCTGATGAAGTCGAAGCCATTTTCGTGGATCCATTCACTGATCCTCAAGAATCCAATGGCCTTGGATACTGGTTGGACAAGAGGGCGTGATAAGCTAAGAAGCACCGATACAGGTACGAGTATCAAATATGATATGGTATGATTTTAAAATACGGAAACGGCTATATAAATTATTAAATATTAAATATTTAAATATATACATATTTTTAATTTTATAATTTCATATTTAAAGTTAAAAAGTACAATTTTAATATGTCCAATAAATCAACACTCAAGATCTAAGATCATATCCGTGCTTCCCAGCTCAAGCAGCAGATTTAACAATCAATAAGAGTTTAAAAAATATTTTTAACAGCCTGGCAGTTGCAATACCCAAAACCAGAATCTAGCATATCGAGGAGTGGGAACTTGAAGTCTTGAATATATGGGAACCAGAGAATGCCAAATGTGACAGAGTGCTAGAGAAGAAGACGAAGAAGAAGAACTTACCTCAAACTTGGAGAGCCAGGGTGACGGAATCACGGGCTAAACTGTTGAAGAAATAGAGCGCCTTGAGAAGAAGCACTGTGAGTCCAGAGTCAGTGACTGAAGCGACAGAGCTCGGACCTCAAGTGAGACAGAGCACCGTGAGTCGTGATTGAATATTGAAGAAGGACGATGCTCGGACACGACGGAGAGATAGAGCGAAGCTCATGCAAGAAAGGGGATACGATTGACTGAACTGGATGAAGCTTAGTTCACTGATTTCTGAAAATGAGAAAAAAAAAATCAAGCAAAAATGCTGAGTTCTGGGCATCGCCCATGTCCGACTAAAACTGAAGAAGCAGACGCGACGTTTCTGCGTCCTGAACGGATGTCCATGTTGGATACATATCCAACATGAACACGCTAGGATTTTGCGCGTTTTCGTGCTTCCCAGGTGATAAGATGAGAGGTTGAAAACAGAGATTTTCAACTAATGTGTCATCCTACTTGACAGATTATCTACTAGGTCTTGGGGGATGAGGGGAGAGGGGTTTCACCATTTTTTTCCCCCTCCATTCCCTCCATTTTCTCAATCCTCGATGATTGGAGAAATAGAGGAAAATGGAGGGAGAAAAAATGAGGATGAGGTAATCGTCTGGTACTACTCTATTGTCTTTGCAATGTTTTAAAATCATATCGAACATTAAATTAAATTTAAAAAAATAGTAGATTACAATTTTGATAAGTCGATTGGGTGAACTGATAGTTGAATCAATAATAAAACAATTAAATAAAAATTAATAATAAAATATAAAAATTCAAATAAACTAATGGAAACAAAAAAATAAAATTCAAAATGAATAAAAATACATTTAAAATCTAAAAATAAAAAATATTTTTATAAACATAATAAAATAAAAGAAAAATTAATCTTTGATTTTTATAGTTTTATTCAATTTTTAAGTCTTTATAATTTTTTTCTTTTTTATTCGATCCTTGTAATTTCCTCAGTTATAGACATTAATCACTAGAGTTAAATTCTGTTAATTTCAATGTAACGGTGTTTGTGGTTACTGAGCTGGATGATAGAGGATTCTGATTCAGTGTACCATGGATTAAAATTGCCACATAAACTTTAAAACAAAAATTCAAAAAGCAGAATAGACTTTAACTAGAGACGAGAGTGGCGCTTGTAGCAATTGCCGCGCGATGTGAGAATTGTTGGGGTGGTGCTTGCAGTGACGAAGACAGTGTGAGAATCGTTGCTAATATCGCCACCATCGCAATCGTGTTCTCATAGTTTTTAATCGTTGCTGATGCCATGTGTATCTTCTGCATGTTTGCTTATATCCGTTACGACTTCAGGGTGCGAAGAAGAACTTGAAAGTAGATCTAGCAATGGTATCACTGACAATTGAAATTTGCTTGAAAAACAGAGGTGGAATTTTCAAAATCAAAGAACCTAAATGAAGGTGTGTTATCCAATTAGCTCTTTGACATCATGTTTTATGTTTATTTCCAACAAGGCATGTACTCATGATTTTGTTCCACCCCAAACCTAATTAGGTGCCATGAAAGTACTTTTCTTAAATGAGAATGATGAACTAAGAAAGAGAGGATATTTTTGTAAGAGAAGCAATGAACAATCTTAATGTCTAAAATTGTGGTGTTTTAGACGCAATAAGTATGATTTCCTTATGAAAAGGACACCCAAGGATTGAAAATGATCAATTGAAGGATGGGCTCGATTAAGTTTGTGCTCTCGTTGAAAGGTTTATGAGTGGTTTTTAGGTCTCCCCAAAAGTCTGTACACAAACTCAGAGCCTAATCAACATTTGTAACCATCTTAGCAACCATTCCACTCTGAAGTTAATGGATTTTAACGATAGGGAATTGATAACTACAATTGAAAAAACTATAAGGAGTTAACAAAAAAGGAAAAAAATTACGAGAACCTCCTTAAAATTTAGGTGAAATTAAAAAAGGTTGGGAGATTATTTTTCTCTAAAATAAAATATAGTAGTGATTTTGATACTCTCAAAGCAAGCACATTGCACAAGAAAGTAGGGGAAAAAACTGATGCGACGTTCCTACTTTCTAGATCACTAACATTTCTTAATATCTTGTCTATTAGTTTTAAATATTTAGTTATTTATTTTAAGCTTTTTACCCTCTTCTCTTAGAAGCCTTGAAGCCTAAATGTCACGCTTCTGTCTCTAATTTTTTTATTAAAAAATATTTTTACTTTATCCTCAAAACTTAATACTTTCTTTTCTCTTTTTGTGCAGTATTGAATAGTTTGGAATGCAAAAGTCAAGGCAGGAAATCTAAATACAAGAAGGATCCCTTGGCAGAGACTTTTCGCTCAGGTTTGCTGGAACATCTGGAAGACGCGTTGCAAGAATATCTATTCTGGAGAAATCTCTCAAAATGTCAACATTGCTTTCTCCAATACCCAACAAATCACCAACGAAATGAGGCTTCAATCCAAAGTTAACCTCCTAAGTCACGATTGCAAAAGGCTAGAGGTATAACAGCACGGCATCCTTACCCCACCCCACCAGAGGTCTTTTTGGACTGGACTCACCCCACCTTCCCGAGGTCTTTTGTCCATGCTGGGCCAGTTCCTCTCATGAGGCCCAAACCGGCATTCAGTACTGGTGGTACAGTGCTTATTCCTCACCCCACTCAAGAGGTCTTTTGGAACCTTTCCAGATTCGATCCTCCAACCTCTACCACTTTAACGAAGTTAAGGCTGAATCTGGTCTGGAAAGGTTCCAAAAGATCTCTTGAGTGGGGTGAGGAATAGGCACTGTACCACCAGTGCTGAATGCCGGTCTGGGCCTCGTGAGGGGAACTGGCCCAACATGGACAAAAGACCTCGGGAAAGCGGGGCGAGTCCAGTCTAAAAAGACCTCTGGTGGGGTGGGGTGAGGACGCCGTGCTGTTACATAAAAGGTGCCTTTTATATAACAGCCCTTTGGGTCACCACTGCCTCTTCATGGTCTTTTCCCAGCGCTAGACACTTCCCTCTCACAGGGTAATGCGGCTTTAGCACAGGTGGTATTGAGTCAGTTTGACTCAGTGGTACCAGACTTAGCCTTAACTTCGTTAAGGTGGTAGAAGTTGGAGGTTCGAGTCTGGGGAGGTTCTAAAAGACCCTCATAAGGGTGGGGTGAGGAATATGCTCAGTACCACCTGGGCTAAAGCCAGCATTACCTTGTGAGAGGGAAGTGTCCAGCGTTGGTAAAAGACCCTGGAGAGGCAATGGTGACCCAGAGGGCTGTTATAGGCCCTGATAGTGTCTGCAGAACATACTGGTGAAAGATTGATTCTTGAATCCTATCAAAGAAAGATCTGACATGGAATTTTGATGCTAATATCTTCAAAGACAATGTCTTAAAGAACTATAAGAATACTCCAATAAGAAGAGAAATAAGAGTTTGAGTTACACCATTTAAAATTTTTGTGGCAAGTATAGATCACTGGGCCCTGTGATTGATTAACAAAACCCAAGCGAGAAGAATCAAACCCAGCCAAATGAAGACCTGGACACTCTTCTTCAGTCCATGAACAAAATATAGCACCTTTTTGCTCAATTCAATCAAGAACGTAATGACGTGCATTATCTAGTTTGTAACTAACATGCCACAAAAGATCACCAACACAAGCACACACCATTTCAAAAACTCCAAACTCTAAATGGTTGCGTTTTTCAGTTCATCAACAGTCAAGCTAACCACCAGACACCCCATAATAAATACAAACACAATCCATTCAATTAACACCGTAGTGGTTACTCTCTTACGCTTCCCTTTGCTCAACTCAACTTCTCTATAAACGATTTCATCCTCATCCTCTCCAGCCGGCCCTGGAGATACCATAAAGGGTGTCTTGAGGGTAATGAAAGAAGTTATGGACGATGTTCTATTGATGATCTTGGATTTGCTATTTGGTGAACCTTTATTGAAGGAGTTTGTATATGGTGAATTAACAGCCAACTATCCTTGCAACGTGAAATCATCGTTATCATCAAACAATGCGGCATTAACAGGGTAAGGTTGTTCACTAAATCTTGATTTGGGTTTGAAATACACTGACCTCGTCAGCGACTTTCTTCAACCAAGGTTTTCATTGCCAGGAGGATGCTTGGATGGCTTCCTTGGGCTGGGACTAAACCGTATTTTAGGGGAAGCACTGTTTAAATGCGGAGACTTCAATGCCGCACACCCAGTATTGACTTCATTACATTCAGCCACTTTGGAGTCTTGCACAGAGATCGCCGCCACCACTTCGCCAGCATTAGCTGTTTTGTTCTCTGTCATGCTTGCTTCGGTTGATCTCGTAACTTGATTCCTGTTATCGCCATCCATTAAGATCTCTAAGCTTAGTGAATGAATAAAGATCAAGTCTCCTTAGAAATGAACTTGGAGACTAAACATAACACAAAACACACTCGTGTGTGGAACTACTAACTACACTCTAGATTAACTGTGCCTTCTTGTTGTAATGGCAAATGAAAATAGAGAATTCTAGAATAGCAGAAAACACTAGCAAACATGATCTCCCACTATCCTAAGCTTTATTGGGTTGAAATGGAATAGTAGTTGATGTGGCTGCGAATTTAAAGTGTCAAAGGAACTAGTTGAAGGTGGATTTGAAAGACAGAAGCATCATATTTTTCCTTGGATACTATATTGTGCTTGAATGCCAAATCGCTCCCGGGGGAAGCGTGGAGAGTGGGACATAGATGACAGTGGTTTCGCATCACGAGAAGGCTTTTGATCATGAAATAACACTAATTAACATATGTTCATTTATTAAACAATCATGATTAGTTTGCTTTCCTCGGAGCTAAACATAAGTTAATTAGTGTTATTACGTGATAGTGCTTATCTATTTCCCCCCTTCCTTTCTTTCATTAACCATCACTAAACCAAACCAGCATTGTGGGGATACTTGGACTACTTGTGATCGTTTGAATGAATAAACTCTCACTAATCTTCATTATTAATTGATAAATAAAGAAGCTCCCATTCATTAAAACAATAATAATAGACGCATTGGATCGAAAATATTTGATAGTTTTTTCGTGGTATTTAAAGAGAGAAAGAATGAAAAGCGAAATCTAATTTTATACCGTAATATTATATCATTAGAATTTTGGCATTTCCTTTATTTACATGTTTTCTTAGAGCTGTGACTTCTAGTGAGTGACTAGTTACATTATATAATGTGGTTAATCTTTCTCAATTTGATACTTTTAATATAAGACAAAATTAATATGCTTATTAAAAAATATTAGTTATAACCTTAAAATTATAAAAAGATATACTCCTTCCATTGTTTAAAAATGTAAGGCATTTTTAATTGAATATCACCTTCCAATAAAGTAGTTACCTACTTTCAAACTAACCTTATATTTTTATATTTATCCCTCTTAAACACCTTATAATAAATATAAAGTCATTATCAACAGAGGTATTTTTTAAAAAAGGCAATAATTACATTTCAAAAGACTAAAAATGCCTTACATTTCTGAACATCCAACTCCTCAAAAAATGTCTTATATTTTTGAACGGAAAGAGTAAAACTTTTCATTTTTATCTTGATTGATAAATATAATAAATCATTGTTTAGAAATTCAAATGATCACAATAAATGAATAAGGGGTTAAATTTTAAAAAATACTCAATCCACTTTAAATTATAAGATACTTTTAAAAAAAATTTCACATACTACTAAACTTTATTAAATACACTCAACAACTTTATCTTTCCAAAACAAAAATATAAATTTTTAAAAATACTCATCATTTAATATATTGAAAAGAGAAATGACATAAATTAATTATAAAAAAAATATTAAAATTGATTCATTTAATGAAACTTTAATTTACATAAAATGTCTTATATTTTAAGATGGATAAATTTTTTTAAAAATATTTTATAATTTAAAATGAAAGAAGTATTAATTACCCTAACTTTTCCTAATATTCCTTATATTCAGGATACAGAAGGGGGGAAAAACTTTGAAGCTTCGTCTCATATTAAAAATAAGGAAATAAAATGTTGCATCAACAAAAAAGGGGCTGAATGATTTCATTTAAAAAAGTCAGAAAATAATCAACTTGCGCATATTAAATACATAGATCACGCAGCTGAACCTTATGAAAGCGTGATCTGTTCGAAGACAAGCGAGCTGGTGGAGCAGTTGGTTATCTGATCAATGTATACTTTAACGGAGGACAGCAATTAATAGATCAGGCCATCGTGTGCAGAACAGGCGTGTGCTAGACATTCAGGGTTCAAACTCCTGATAGATTTTTTTTTTTTAAGGTGCATATTTATCAGAAATCTGGATCTCAAACTCTGGCAATTAATTATATGATTATTATATATGATATAATTAGAAGGAGATAAACAAAAAATTGGTGTAAAAATAGATAGAGAATAGAATGCAAATATTATTGTTTTGGAGGTATCTTATTTAATCATAGGATTGTATAGTATTACAGGAGAGCATGACAGAGGGAAGAGCGTGATGGTATGACAATTGGTTCGGATGCAATAATAGAGATCACAGAGTTCAGTGATGAATCATGAACTGACGTGGGGCAGGCCAGTTAATGAATTCTATATTTTTCTATTAAACTATTTGGACTTCTGATTGCATTCCAGATTCCACGTCCCAGTAGCCAAGAGAGCGAGGGATTAAGGAGCTCTGGCCCAGAGGAGGCCCAAGTATCGTAACGTAGGATCGAAGCCCACAACCCACACACCAGGAGCGAGCATCTTGTTCAATACTCCATTTGTTGAAAAACAAAAAGCATTTGTTCTTCTTTATCAAGAAAGTAAAGCATTTTTTAGATAAAATGTTAAAAATTTAAAGCATTTTAGATCTTTTAAAATGTAATTAATGAGATTTTTCCTAAAACATCTTTATTTAGGAGAGTAATTAATAAAGTTGTCTCATTAAAATACTCTATTAAATAGAAATAAATATAAAAAGAGATTGTAATTTTAAACGTAATTAACTAATTTGTTGGCATCATAAATCATTCACCTATAAATGTCTTATAATGTTAAGTAAAGGGAGAATTATATCATATACGATGATCTTGTAAGATGAGGAGCATTTATTTAATTGGTAAATATTTAACTTATGATTTATAACATTGTGGATTCAAAACTTGTAATCAATGTAAATACTTTATAGGTGAGTGATTTTTTAAATATTTTTATAAATGATCTTTAAATTCTAAAAGCATGATGTTAAAGTGAACCGAGCCCAGCTAAGCGCTCTCAGTAGAAAGACAAAAAATGGAAATGAAGATGTGATAAGTGGGAAAAGCGAGGACGGAACAAATGTGAAGGGAGTGAAGTGGTAAGACCGGGGAAAGACGTACTTCGGAGGATAAAGGAAAAGGAAGAGAGTGGCATTAGAATTTAGAAACTCTTTGTCTCGGGATCGCCACTCGGTCCATTCCCTTCCCTTTGTCTTTTGGTCTTTTTAAAGCAAAAGTCGCTTCGGCCTTCCATCCCATCCACTTCCTTCTTCTCTTTCCCTCTCTCTGCTTCAAATACTCCCCACCCCTTCTTCTCTTCCCTTCTTTATTATATACTCTTTTAGATCTAACTTAGCTTGCTAGGTTGCATATTATTGCATCATTAGTCATCTCCATGCCAACTAGTTTTTCTCTTGACTTTTAAGGCATAAGGCTACAGTGATTATAAATGGGCTAATTAACCAATCCTTTCATCACAAGGGCTACATGGGAATCTAGTCTACTCTGGGATCGCCATTAAGAAGTCAGGGAATATTATGATTATCACATGACAATATGCCACCGATAGCAATTCATTCATTAAAAAAAAAAAGAATTATATACATGCAGTCTCTAAATAGCATGCAAAATTATTCGTCATCTCATCATTGCTTGGCTTCTTTGTCTCGCACATACCCACCGTACGGAAATCCATGTCCATCCAAACAAATTTAATCCCGTTCTCTCATTATTATATTTTTCCATGTTTACTAACTCTGCGTCTCTCTCTCTCTCTCTCAGTTGCTATATATAGAGAAACATGGCTTTAATTTCTGCACTCATTTTCACCCCTCAACACCTTAAAGTAAGTGCGTTAAAAACTTCAAAACTCGGCAAGCTAGTGTTCCCTCTCTCCATCTATGTAGACCGAGTTACGGATGCGCCACCCAAGAATGAACAAAATAAACAGCTATGTAAGTATAAGGAACATCATAGATTTCTATAATGATATGATACTTGCTTGCTTGTGTATACTTTTGACTATAGGAAGCGATTCCTTTTGAGTGGGTCTCCCTTATTTCGCACAACCACCTTGTGCATGCTTATCGTCACGTAGTAATCTTAATTTTATATATATTACTTTATGTGAGTAGGGCATTATTACGTCTATTCCCGATCAACCCTACTAGCCTGGTGTCTCTTTTCGATGCTCAACCATAATTTAAAATACCATTATATATAATCAACCAGCATTGTTTTTTGCTTATGCTTTAAACGCAAATTAGGTTAACCGGTTAGACTAATGAATTAATTTCTTAGCCAGTCCAATTAATAGTTTTGGACGGGTTAATGAATTAGATTATACATACTTTTCTTATTCTTTGGACCTATAAATGATATTATTTTGAGTTAAAAAATAATCATAACTTGGTTGCACTTACCCATAAACTATTATTTTAACTAGTTTAATGATCATCTTGAAGTTTAGCAGCTCGCCCATTTTAATTAGTTTCCTTCAAGTACAATCTATACACTACTAAAATAGAGACAAAAAATTTTGTGAACGACTTTAGTTATTCTTTGAATGTTGGGGTTGGTGATGGAAGCAGAGTCTGCAAGTAATGGGCCAGTACAAAATACTAGAATGGGACAGAGGAAGGGAGGGAGGGAGGAAGAAAGAGAATGAAAGCAAAATCTTTATTAGCAATCCTCACTTTCTCTATTCCCATGGACGACGAAGATCTGCCTTTCCCTTTACCATCACACCCATCTCATTTTGCTTCCGATTCCCATCTCGAATCTCTCATTTTCCCTCTCTTCTTTTTCCTCCCTTCTTTCTTTTCCTTCTCCTTCAAACTTCGATCTCTCTTTCAGTATCTCTCATTCTGAACGTTACATGATCGCGATCGAGAATGAACGCATCCCACCACTTGCTCTCTTTTCTAAAAATCAAGCACCTTACTATTCACACTTTTCTCCCTCTTCTTTCTTTCTTTTTTTTTTTAAATACAGCATTTGCTTTTTTCTTAAACATTTCGTCGTCGTTCAAGATATCCGAAGATTCTACGTACGGTTCACGCTTCGTTGCTTATGCACATGGATTTAGTGTCAGATAGGTCACAGAACAGACATCAATCAAACTCTTGATTGCAAAAAACGTACGGCCATTGGCAACGGCAAAATGAGTATTGAGGCGACGACTGATTTTGTATACAATTTATTCTCATGGCAACGCTCACAATTCATATATCAAGCTGAAAACGGCATATATTTTTATGGATCCTTATCAAACCTTTGATTAGAATTCACACTTCACAAGAACACTTGAAACAAAATTTAAATTGGTCGTGTATAGTTTATAATATGCCTCTACTGAACCGAACTACATTACGAGGCCATTAGCAATGGCGCGATTTGTACTAACATGAGTAGTCTCATACACCGGAAGCTCCTCACTGTACCTAGCGTCTCCCATGACCGCCAAGTGATCAAGCTCGAAAAGATCCGAACTTGCATAGCTTGCTGCGTCGCCGTCGCCGTCGTCTTCATCCTCATCGTCTTCCTCAACTACATCTGTCCTGAGGGGAAAATCACTCAAAATCAAATCGCTTTTCCTCTGGTTTTGATGATACTCCTTTAAGAACGCTCTGGCAGCTTCTTCCACTCGCTTGCTCTTCTCCATGACTGGGACTTTGAGTTCTTCATCAATGTTCTTCTTATAACCAGGCGATCCTCCGATTTTCCAGGCGGTAGGCACCGACACGGGCATTAGACTAGTGTCCTTTTCTTTGTACAAGCATTTATGCCCACAAGGTCGACTGTCTTCATCGACGATCACGCTTACTGGGTAAAAACGCACGGATCTCTTCACATCTTTACGAAGAGAAGGCGAGGTTTTGCTCAAGCAAGACCGTGAAAATGAAGACGCTGACGAACATGTCGAAGCTTGACCCGACTTCGATTTCCTCTCTGCGTTTACGTCTTCGCACCCTCCAACAGAGCATGTACTCGAGCTCTTGCTTTTCTTTGTATTCCCTGGTGTAAACAGAGCGTTGAGAAAATTCGTGAGCTTTCCCCCTGGAGAAATTGGTTGCTTCGCCTTCTTAATATTCTCGTAAATCTTTAGAGCCCTGGATTTACTCTTTATTAATCCTTCCTCATGAACGTCGTAAGCACGCATTTCTCTCTGTTTTTGTCCTCTATCTTTCTTCTCTGACCTATCAGACCTGACGGACACACTGGTCTTCACTGGCTTGGGCCTCGGAGGCGCGAAACACGAGGCCTGCGATCTCACTCCGTACATGGACTCTGTGTCAGATGAAGAGAAACCTCCAGTACTGGAATCAGAAGAACTAGAAGTGGAACTGAAAAACAGAACATCATGGTCGTGATCATGATGATCAAGATGTAGTTTTGTGTCCAGGTGATGATGACTCCGCTGGTGCGTCCTCTTGGCATCGACCTTTTCGCTCCATTTCTCTACCAAACAAGCTCGGCGAAGATTAGCCTTGGCTATTTCCTCCTTCTCCACGGTTCTGTTACATTTCTCAGTGCTTCTGCTGTGTTTCTTCGCCATTGTTTCTCTGTGAAACTTCATTTCGCGGGACTCCCTCTCGCCTTCTTCGATGGAACGGTAAATCTTGTCGAGCAGAGTGGAAGAGAAGGAGGGGTTTTTGGGGTGGTTAGGAAATGCGGGTTCCCCGAGTGTCTTCTCCAACATGTACATGTCTGGTTGGTACTTGGTAATAAATCGGCCAAAAGGAATGATTAGCACGGGTAAAAAGAGAATGATGAACAAGGACAAGCACGAACAAGGAAAAAAAAAACTTTTAGAGAGAGAGCTTCAAAAGCTGCGAGGCATGATTGAGGAGAAGGATAGATGGAGTAGTGGTTGTTGGAAATGGTAGAAGAAAACGTGAACAGGGGTAATTGATGGCTGTCTAAGAGACGAGGAAGAAGGTAGGAGAAAGTTTGAGAGAAGCAATGAGAACACAATGGCACGCTTTGAAGGCCAAGGGAACAGGAATAGGTCACACTTTATAAAGGCTCGTCACGCGCCTCCATTCCCATCCTCGTTGGCATCTGCTTACGTGTCAAACAAATCAAGCCTCGATCGGCCTCTACTTTTACTTCTCTCTCGTCCTCCCGAATTCGAATTTTTAGCCGTTGATCATGTTGAACAGACACGGGAATGAATTATACCGTGTATTCCAACGCCATGCCCACTTTGAGAACCAGCTCATAGGGAAAAAGGCTACTCTTGATGGCTTTGTTTAAAATTAAACACACCAGATTCCTTTTTCATATTAGGTTTTGGTATCTTCTTATAGGTTAGAATCTGTTTCGTCCTTGAATTTATGTCCTTTTGTCATTTTTGTCATGTACATGTATGGTTGACGAAGGGCATAGAGGTTGGTTGGTCATGAGTTGGTATATATATTGTAAAATTACAATGATTGACAGAGAAATGGGAACTAAGGAAAAGTGATGAATCACGTAGCAGAACAGTGGACATAATGAGGAAACCAAATAGTAGGTGTAGATATTACTCACTGTATAGCAAGTGAAAACAACATTTTACGCTCTGGAGTTGGGACTTGTTATTATTGGAAATGGATGCTCCTGAGCACAATTTGCTCTGCTTTTTACCAACAAAAAAGATTTAACAACTAAAAGCTTACAGCTTATGGGTGGAGATGAATAATCACGCAATCCAAATTACTCGGCTAATGACTATGTTTAGGGATTTCTGGGGCCCATTTTGCTACTGCTTCACTTGCCTTTGACAGTGATAGCAGCTGTTGCTCCCAAACAAAATGGTAAGTGACGTAGGGGGTTAAAAGGTGAGAGAGAGAAACAAGTGGCACCACACAAAGTTATATGTGCTATGCTTTATCTATGGACCTGTAACCACGAGAGGATTAACTGAGGGAGCCTGTAAATTTGGTCAGTTTAATCATGAATCATAACCACACTCCAAGGAGCCTCTTGCTTCTAAAACTGATTATGAAGCGCCGCCCATCAATCACTCAACGGCTCTTTCATCCCCAAGTCTGTACCACCATTAGAAGTCCAAGCCATGCAGAAATACCACAGAGAGAGAGGTTAAAAAAAAAAAAAAACCAGTGGGGTTGGTTTTTTGGTAAGCCGCAATTCCGCAAGTTAGTAGATATGGGTGTATATTAAATTAGATATGGAAAGCAAACAAAATCATTGACTGTGTTGCAAAGGAAAGATGCAGCAAATCCCCCGCCTAAGCCCATCAGCTTTGTTTTGGATTTGTTCCCATTATACTTGTCAGCATCACATGTCCTCCAGTATTTGGTCTTGTCTCTCTGCTCATTTACATCAATACATGGGGTCCCTTCACATCATACACACAACATCCATCCCACTACCCTCCCCTTTATTTTGTTCACTTGTTTACACAAAACCCTTCCATTTTGCTTTCTCATATGCCTCTTGAGTAATCAGCGATTATTGTATATCTAAGCTGCGTCTGGCTTCCAACAGACAGACATAGATATCTTATTTAAATAGGAGTCAAGTGTGCATTAATGTGTGGAGAAGTCTTCATTAACCGAGCCAGCAACTTGTTTGGCAAATTGGAACATATAATCGAGCACTGTTCTTACGGGTGTTAATTCTGCAATTAATGCGGCTTGTCTTCGCCATTGTTGCGAGGCAAAGTCAGAAGGGGCTGGGTGGGACCCAGTGGTGGGCCTCTGGGTAGGGTGCCATGTGCCCAACACCTGACATACTTCGATTAATCCTTCATACCAGTATGGGAATCCTACTCTAAGTTCTGGAGCTTCATTTTCTTCATTATTTTCAAGTGTACCCACGTGCTTGTAAGCGTCAACCCCTCCAGTGGCCCCTACCCACATAACTAGCTTAACGTCTCACGATAAGCCTACTTGGCTATCCATGCAAACATGTTGGGAAAGAGAATATGAATTTCATACCGTTACTGAAAGAAGCCTCCTCAACAACTCCAGTAATTTCCGAAGGGAAAAGCCTTCCTCCATGTATACATACATATGGAAGAAGAACAGTTATGTTTACAATCCATTTACAACTTTCATTCGAAATTCCATGAAGTTGGGGGGAATCCACCACAGCGCCGAAATATTTCCTGTTCTAGTCTCTCAATTTCTGCTTCGGTTTGTGACCTTGTTGACGCACCATCTTCTGATTCCAGAGCCCTTCTCAGTATTGATATTTGCCTCACCAAGCTTTTTACCTGCGCGCATCATCCTCATCAGAGCCTACATTAATCTTAACGAGTCAGAAAAAATAACATGAGATTGCAGGGGAACCGAACCTTTCTGTAAGGCCATTGCTGTAGTCCTTCTTTACGACATATTTTCTTCATAACAGTGGGACATAACTTCAATTTCTTGGCTGCTTTTTGAATAGGCAGACTAAAGAATCCTCTCATATCGCTCAATTTCATCCTCGCGATCCTCTCCCTCTGCATGGCATTCCCACATACATCAAATTAGAATACTCCAAACATTTTATATACTCTTCCGTTTGATTGAAAAAAAGAAAAAAAAAAATGTAACAAATAAGGCTTCTGATTAACAACCTGTTCCGCATGGCAAGTGTTTGAAGTCCTTGCTGTGCCATCCCCGGCCTCCTCCTCTTGTTCCATGCCAGATTTTGCTCCTAAACCGATATACGAAGCCATTCAAGCTCACGAAAACAAATAAACTAGTGGATACACTACCAGAGCAACATAGAAATGCTACAGTTGATTAATCAATCATGTATAGGTGGATTCAAGAAAACACAAGGCAGGGAGATGAGGATGAATCACGTGCCCGAAGTTTCAGGTTTATGGTCACTGAAGTCATCACGGGAGTCTTCAGCCCAATCCAATCCACAGCAGAGGGCTTCATAATAGGAAGAAAGTGGATCTTGCATCATGAAGTAGCCCATTGAACTTTGGATCAAGCAGTGTCGGACTAGGAAAGCCTTGATTTGGTACAAGCTTTTATCGGAAAAACTGGTCCAACGGAAAAACAAAACCGGAAATCTTTCAAAAACAATTATGAAGCCAACATGTATTCTCGAACTCGTCAACGCATATGCAAGCAAAACCAATAGTAATAGTAAGTAGTTAAAACTCTTGACTTACTCGAATATTTGAAATCGTTGATGGGCCGAAGAACGCACACCGGCATTCTGATAAAAAACCGCATGAGAGATGAGCCCGAGCGTGCCGTGAATTTGGAGTTTGGAAAAATGAATACAATCAGTATGAACTATTTCGCGAAGCACTTGACAGAGAGTGCAAGAAAATGGTATTGGTGAGCCCTGCCACGAAAATGCTACATCCAGATTCTGATGAGAAACCGGAAGATTGTGCTGGCGAATTTCTGAAGGACCCGCTTCAACGTTGTTATTGTCTGACGCTCCAACGGAAAAACTCGTATCATCTAAATATGAATCAATGTCGGCCAGTATGGCTGCTGCATCATCCACATCCAGTTCAGGCAACGGCGAGGAAAAGCAAGAAAACTGTGCGTGGTTGTGTGAATCAAGAAGCGTGGGATTATGGCCGCTGAAATTAAGAATCATGGTGGCATCTTCATCGTGTGGGTCGTATGGAACAATGGCAATGGGATCCCCCATGTCTTGAAATGCAGGAACAAGAGGCGGCGCTTGTAGGAAAGCGCCGCCACCGAAAGAAGAAGAGTTTGGGAAATTTTTGAGGATGCAAGGGTTGGTTTTTTATGTGATATTCCAAAGAGAGAAACGGTACGTCTGAGTGTCGGCTTTAAATAGGGAAGGAAGAGGCGCCAGAGGCAGTTGATGACCGTTGTACTAGGATTGTGAGACTTCCGATGACTAGTCATTTCGTTTCAGATGTACTCTTCTTCTTACAAACTGGCCAAGTTTTAATTTAATCTGTTATAAACTTCAATTAATGCTGTTAATTCATCTGAACCCAAAAACAAACAAACAAGCAAACACTATTAATTCAGGCGAAAGTCCTCAAAGTGTCTAGGATAAAAGCTGGACTGAATTCAAGGGAATCATTCTCCAACACGTGTAGTCTTTTGCTTATCACAATTCTCTCTCTTTTTTTTTGGGTCAAATACTTATCACAATTCTAAATGTGAAACAAATGTCATTTCTTTTTTATTGGTCCAGAAACAAAAGGAAAATCTCATGTCTAATTAAATAAAAAATCGTTAATTAATTATGATACAAAGTACTATAAGAATACGTTAAAAAATTAATTAATAGAATTAATGGCATTTCGATAATAAATTAATACTATCTCCATCTTAAATTATATGGCACTTTTGAAGGAGTTTTTCTGTCTTAAAATACAAGACACTTTGGATTGAATAATATTTCATTAAATGCACCAATTTTAATATTATACTTTCTCTCTCTATAATTAATTTTCTTCTTTTTTTCTTTTCAACATATTAAATAATAAATATTTTTAGAAGTTTATATTTTTATTTTAAAAAAATAAGTTTGTTAAGTGTATTTAATGAGGTTTATTGGTATGTATAATTTTATCTAAAAATATTTTATAATTTGAAAATGAGGGAGTAACATACAATAATGTATAATAATAACTCATAGGGGTAGGAATATAATAAAAAATATATATTTATTACATTTCATTTAAATAATTATAAAATGAACGTGTGTGTGTATATTTGCCAACAAAATGGATGTATATATAGAGACAAGAATATAATTTTTTAAAATATTTTTAAACATTAAATCATTAAGTTAAATTATTAATTATTAATCATTTAATTCTTTTTGAAACATGACGCAGTGACAACAAATATTGTGGTGGGCTTATCAGTCGTCATCGCTCGTCAGGGACGTCGGGAGCTCGGGTCTAAGATAGGGATTCTCCCCGTAGTTTCGGTTCGGGGTAGGAAATGAAAGCGTCAGCATTATCATCTCTGCTTGGCTCCAGGACCCTGAATCTCTTTCAGTCTTCCTCTTATCACCATTGTTCCTTTCATTCTTCTAAATCCGTCTTAACCCCTCTCTCTTCTTGCTTCTCTCCCGCTGCTCTCAATCACAGTCGGATCCATCTGATCCACAAGCTCGCGTTCCACACTTCATCTTCCCCTATAATGGCCTCTTCGTTTAACCCTGAAAGAGCACGCGCCCCACCTGCCACCCCCATGCCTACTCCTCCTCTTGCCAAGGCAAGTTCTCTTTTTCATATTTCAATTCAATTACTGGGTTTCGCGCTTCGAAGCCACTGTTGGTGACTGCCGGAATCCCTCTTCTGTGATTTCAGTTTAAGATTGGGCTTTGTCAACTATCAGTCACCCCCGATAAGGAGAGGAACATTGCTCATGCTCGGAAGGCCATTGAGGAGGCTGCAGAGAAGGGTGCCCAGCTTGTTCTCTTGCCTGTAAGCTCTCAGCATTTCTCACTCGATCATTTACTTACTCCGCATACTTCTCCTTTTACTAGTTTTCCTGTTGAATTGTATGTCCGTTGATAAAATGTGCGTTCTTTGAAACTTGCTTCTTCTGCATTAAGTATATGAAATTTGCATTCCAGTAAGTGTGGTTATAACTTCCCAGGAAATATGGAATAGCCCCTACTCAAATGATAGCTTTCCCCTCTACGCCGAGGATATTGGTGCTGGTGGCGATGCATCTCCTACAATTGCCATGCTCTCTGAAGTCTCTCGTCTCTTGAAGATCACGATAGTTGGAGGCTCCATACCAGAACGTTATGAAGGCCGATTATACAACACTTGTTGTGTCTTTGGCACCGATGGAAAGCTAAAAGCAAAACATCGCAAGGTCTAATTTGTGGCTTTATTTGAATGTCTCTTGTCTAAGTTTTATGCTAAATTGTCAAGATATGCATTCTTTATAAATTACATGTTTTGAACTCTAATCGGACAGATCATAGAAAGTTTTAGGTATGCTACTTAATTTTTCTTGGAAAACCAGTGTTAATTTCTGATCGAGTTGAAATCTGTATTTGTAGTATTAGTAAACCCACGGCATTGTTACAAATCATTCAATTTTGTAGGAGGGCAATGGTTTAGAAAATGTCTTTATACTTCATTTTTGGTTCTATCAAATGATTCAATTTCTGCATATTGACTTGTAGGAGGGCTAATGATGGTTCAAATTCCACATATCTTTCTAGGGATTAGATTTTGTCGTTGATTTGAAATTTTATGGTGTGTAATATGTTAATCAAGTGAAGAGTTTTCTTTCTTGTGTAATTTCTGATTTACTAGTGCCGCTACAGATACATCTTTTTGATATTGACATACCTGGGAAGATTACATTTATGGAATCAAAAACTCTCACGGCTGGGGAGACTCCAACCATTGTGGATACAGGTCTAACATATTCTTTTATTTCACATTTAAGCACAATAATAGTTTTCTAGTTTATGCTGATACTTATTCCATCATTTAGATGAGAAAGGAACACTCAGGTACAGAACTGATGCTAGTGTTGCTGGACAGTTGGAGATGAATGGGCAAAAGGGAATATAATTCTTTCGGTTTTAGTATTAGATCACTCGCTAGGAAGCTTTATTTCTTACACTTTCTGTAGACCATGTAGTATTATGTCTAATTTAGTGATCAGTGCCCTTAAGGGGTGAATTTGTTTAAAACAAGGCTTCACCATGAATTTTGGTGATTACGCTTCAGAATATACTTGTTTTTATGTAGTTCTGCCTTCTTTTTGTTTGTGACTGGTTGATAAGGGAAGAGAAGTGATATTTATGCATATATAGCCTAATTTGTCATGCATCTTTTGGGGGGGAAAATAGAATGACTGCATTTAAATACAATTCCTTATATCCTTTCTATGAAGTTCTTTCATAAAAGTATGATGTGTAATATCAATAATTCCATACACTTGTTATGTTATATCAGAGAACCTGGCAGTAAAGATACAAAAAATTGTTCACGAGTTTCTCCAAAAAAAAAAAATTGGAAAAAAGAAAGTTGCTTTCTAAAGGCTTCCCATTCAATCATATTTTGCATTTATAAGAGAGCACATCCTTACCTGACTGCCTTATGCCATGAGAGTGGTTCCCAAAATTAAATTTTCTCTGTGAATTTTTTCATGTTTATACCAAAAATTGTAATGAAGAGTTGATTCATGCAGAAGTTGGGCGAATTGGTATTGGCATTTGTTATGACATTCGATTTCAGGAATTGGCAATGATATATGCAGCAAGAGGTTGGTTTGCAATTTTCTTCCTTTTTATTTTAGTTCATTCATCTGGAAGCAATTAATCTTGTCCTCCTGGCCAACTTGAAATTTCCTAGGTCATACATTATCCTCTGTAGTTTGCTGTTTGTGTCAAGATAGCTGGAACAGAACTAATGTTAAAGTATAGCCCCTCCTTACCTCATTAGTTAGAATTTTGCTGTAGTACAGTTGAAGGTCTCTGACTCTATGGGTCAAGCTTAAGCTCTTCTTGAATGTATTTATGGTAGAAAATAAGTAGGTTGAAGGTTTGTGATGGTAAGGTGACTCGGCAACCATGGGATGGGTTCTGTGGATCAATTGGTGGTTGTTTTCGAGTTGTGAATAGTTTTGCCAAATCAGGATTTTGCATTTGCTGGTTTTTTGGGCAAATTCAAACAAAGAGCAAGCTATGATTAATTGTGCAGTTATGTTGATTTATTTCAAAATTTTCATTACTTTGATCGCATTAATTTTCTTGTAAGTTTTGGGATAAAGACAGATTTTACTTTTGACTTCAGGTGCTCACTTGCTCTGCTATCCTGGGGCATTCAATATGACAACTGGACCATTGCATTGGGAGTTATTGCAGAGGGCAAGGTAGTTATAATTATCATTAAGCTATGACTACTAGATTTGATCTGTGCTGATGTGTGTTTTTCCTTTTCATTTGCAGGGCTACAGATAACCAGGTAATGGCCCCTTATTATTTTTTATTTCTGTTGGATTTTGTGGAATGCACTTCTTGCAGTATTTTAAGTTCAGCATGTGATTTAGAGTATCTCTTTCCCTGGGATAGCGATGGATTGACAGATCTAAATACCATAGCTTAACTAAGGAATTTGGTGTTATAAGTTGTCAAAAGTTGTCATCCGTTTTCCAGTTAAAGTAGTGAGATTGATGCAATTGGAATTGGTTTATAGTCTAGGTTTAATCCATTCTAACCTCTTTATTTGTGGTCTGCCGCTCTTTAAGGTCCGAGACATAATGGATGTTCACCTTTTAGAAATTTTTTTTTTGACCTTTTGGAGATTCTCTATTGACAGTTATATGTGGCGACTTGTTCACCTGCTCGGGATACTGGTTCTGGTTATGTGGCTTGGGGCCACTCCACCCTTGTTGGACCAGTGAGTACTAATTGTATTTAGCTTTCCTTGGGTTTATATGATTCAAATAGACTATTTTCTGAGCTACTTGCTATCGAATCATCATTTTATTATATAAAACCAAAATCCTTCAACAATGTTATCATCGTACGATATTTGTATTGAATTACTTGATCCCTTGCAGGCACAGGGAGAATGCTAGTTCTTCAATAAAAATGAAATGCATGTATTAACTACGAACACCAAACACCTAAAATTTGCAGCTAATTTTTTTTTTAATTAATAATTATGGGTAGAGCTAATGAAGCCGGATTTTTTTTTTTTTTTGACAACCTAATGAAGCTGAGTTCTGAATAAGCACTTACTGAAAGATATCAATGTCTCAGTTCGGAGAAGTTTTGGCAACTACGGAGCATGAAGAGGCAATCATCATAGCTGAAATCGACTATTCATTGTTAGAACAGAGGAGGTGGTCTATCTACGCTCAACTTTTCCGCCTGTTTTTTCAATCCACAACTATATCTCTGCTTAACTGATCATTATTTGTCTGATTTTGTGATTTGATTAATCAGGACAAGTCTTCCATTGACAAAACAACGGCGTGGTGATCTTTACCAACTGGTTGATTTTCAGAGATTGAATTCCCAACGATAGGATCTCGGCATGACTGACTTCAGTTATGCTGCTTAAATATTTTGAGACTATTCATTTGCTTGGTCTTCGTGGCATGAATTTTTATATGATGTCTCTAATGTGCTGTACTATTTGAATGGAGTTGAAACCATGAATAAAACGAAGAACAAATAAATAAAGGATGGGAATTCTTTAGAGGAGATTGTGTTGTTTATATGAGCAACTGATTTAATTTTCAAGTATATATGCAAGGTTGCACAGATATTTTTGGTTGCTTTCGAGTGATTCCAATTGAAGTTCTTAAAAGGCTTACACATTAACAATTCATAACATCATCTAATATTGTGGAAAAAAAAAACTATATATTAATTTACCACATTGATGATAGCGATGAAGGTATAGCGCATGGCGTTAAGCATAAACAAGAGACAAGCCATGAAAAGGATGTGTTTCCGGCAAGCCGTCTAGGCTATAGCCCATGGCATTTATATAAAGCCAGGAAAAGAACATTCTTGTGGCATATACACGTTAATCACTATGATCTGTATGTAACGATACAGCACATTTTGTCCCCTTGAAATGCTTCTTTTGTCCTATAGCGTCTCTTCAAGAAATCCCTATTTTTCTTGAACCGAAGCTGATCCAGCTTCAAGGTCCAGTCCCGCATTATCTTCAAGGGGGACATGGAACTTGATCAGAGGCTCGTTGGTGTGAAGTAAGGGAAGAAAGAGGGGGCTGATGAGTGGAAGGAGAGCATGCCGTTACCCAGAGACATCATTGAGGGATTTGCAGAGGACGATTCTGAGGATTCCTTCGTGCCAGTGAAGGCCAAGTCCGAGTTTAGTTCCCATCTTGGCAAGATCATCCCTAAGGCGGAGTCCATATGGCTGAAAGTTAGAAGGGGTTATAGCACTCTGAAACTGCGGGCTCGTATCGTGCAAAATAAAAGTTCAATAATTCAAAAAAAGTACACTATCCAAGCTGCCTCAGATCCCAGGCATGTTGCAGAGTTAGACGACTTGACATTGGAGCAGTGCACTGAACTGCAGGGTACGGAGCCAGTCATCCGTTTATCGATAAAGTTTTCCTTAACTTCATAGAATCACATCAAAACCATTACAGACGAGTCTCTTGTGATATTTTGACTGTGCAGAAATGAGCAGAAAAGCGATGAATGTGGAGAACAGGTGGTTCCGCAAAAGTGGGATAAAGTATGACTGGAAGATGAAAGCAGGGATTCATCTGCCTGACGGAGGGTGTTCAGTAGTGAGCTGCATACTGTTCACGCCCTTAGAAGGGGAGCACTGCGTCCATACTACTACTGGTAGGTGTATGGCATGGTATTGTGCAGCAGTTTCCACAGGGGTTCCTCTTGTCTTTGTCAATATCCAGACAGAACAGATTGCCCATTCGGTAATTTACTCTTTCATCATAATCTGTAGGAAAATCCACAGTTTTGAACAGAAATAAGATAAATACTGAAACGACTCTGCCTCCTAAAAATCAGCCACCTTCAATTTTGCATGCAAATTGGAGAAGAGCAACGACTCTGGAAGGGAAACAAGAAGTGGGAGCAAACAACAAAACAACACAACCAAGAACCCGATTAAGCATGGTATAAGATTGTGGCATCTACCCGGAGTATCAGAAATATCAATAGAATTGATCCCTCTGTCCAGGGAAGTGCGTTTTGGAATGGAAATTAAACGGACAGAAGAGGTAATTGTAACTAAACTGGTCAGAATGGGTTGCATTGTTCCTAGTTTCATTCTGAGATCCTTGAGAGTGCAAGGGTTTGTGTGCATTTACTCGGTGATAGAAGGGTCAGCAGCGGAGTGAGCTGGGGTTAGAGAACTGTTTGAAGAAGCGATAGGTAAAGGGTTTCTTCTGGTGATCTCTCGATTGCATGTAAAGAGTGTGATGCCCTCCACAGTTTGCTCTGCGGATCTGATACACTGTTGCGATCACTCAGGAATAAAGGATACTCTCGGATCGGCCCTGGACGGAAACGATACCATTGAGATGCATATAATGGCATGGCCGAATCAAAGTCGTGTCAATTCTCTTCAGCCTCTTGCTTCCGCGGCTCTGCTGCCTCCCCCTGGGTTTTCCCCGCCCCTGCACTCTGATAGAAAGCGCCCTCCTTCGTCCCTCAAATATTTGCCTCAAATCTTGTTGACTTTCGACCTTTTTTTATTTTGGGCCAATTTTCCCCGATATATAAAATTTAAAATTGTGAGAAAACTTATGTGAATATTCAAGTCCAATTTCTAAAATAAAGAGGAGTTGTTTCATGTTAAATGGAGTGATATAATTTTTTATGAATTATATAAATTGATGATATATTGACATTAACGACTGCTATTAATAATATTGATCATTATTAATTAATTATTTGAATTAATCAATTAATGAGTTCTTATTTTGGTTAAAAAAACAAGGAATTAATTTATAGTTTAAGGTTGCGCATGTTGTGGGTCCGGCTATCAAACTAAATGATGCCTTTGTCATTCAAAAATTTAATAGAAAATATATGCCTATATGGATCATTATTAACTCGCACCTCTTACAAATAATGAAACGCTGCAGATATGATGTTTTGCAGTGTTCGATCACCAAGAGAAGTCAGCCATTTAACCACATGACCACACAAACTTTTAACCTAAATCATGTTAATGTTAATATAAGCCTCATTTGTTCGAACTTTAAAAGTGATTTAGATAATTTCAAGGTTTCATGAAAAATAATTGATTTCGGAAGTATTTTATAAAAAGCATAAACTATTTTGAGTCACAACTTACAATAACAAAAATAATAATTATCAATAAATTTCAAATTTCACTATATTTTGGGTGAATCTTTATTTATATAAATATTTTATTATTTAAAAATTTTATAATATCTCACATATTTATTTGTATGAGATTAATTTCAAAAGCAAAATTATGTCTATTTTTTCCCGTTAGACAAGAGGAAAGAAAAATCACCTCACGGACTTGGACACTAAAGGGAAGAGAACTAGGCCAGTGCTATTGCCATCACATCTTTCAAAATTCAACTCCCAGCAGCCGCACCGTGCTTGAAGTGATAGAGTGGTTTTGCGTTTTGCTCTGCCGTTAGAACACCCTGGTTTCGATGATTATGATTTGTGATTACGTCGTTAATCAGAAAAATTAGGGCATTTCTGTTATGGAGATGTGGATTTTGATGTGCTTATGATAAATGTGGGCGCAACAGAGCATTGATCATCTTGTATTTGAGAGGCAATGGCAGTAGCCAAGCCTTGGCGGGCGCCTCCAAACGCCTCTCTTGTAACCTCCATAACTTCACTCCTTCAAACCCTAAATCCCCAGAACTCTAACATCAGTTCGCTACCCCTTAACCAATTCTCTTCTTATCTCAATCCAGAGTTGGTTATCCAAGTAATTAAGAACCAGGACAACCCCTTCCACGCTCTCTTCTTCTTCAACTGGGCCTGCAACCCCCAACCCAACACTAATAACTACTGCCATACTCGCTCCTGTTACGTCGCCATCACTGACGTCTTACTTTCCCACTCCCTTTTCTCCACCGCCTTCTCCCTCCTTCACCACTCTCGCGAAGTCTCCGACTATATCATCGCCAGATTCATCAAAGCCTTCGGTGATCGTGGTGATATTAGGGGTGCCATTCATTGGTTCCACTACGTCAAATCGTTTGAAAGAGGCCGTTGTTTGTGCTCCTATAATTCGATTTTAGGTGTGTTGGTGAGAGCAAATCGAACGAATTTGGCCAAGGCTTTCTACGATCAGCTTGTGAAGGAAGGTGTGGTGGTGCCTGATGTTTATACTTATACCACGATGATTAGAGGCTTCTGTAAAATGGGTATGGTGGAGTGTGCCCAGAAGGTGTTCGATGAAATGAAGTGTGACCCGAACTCCGTCACTTACAACACAATGATCAATGCATTTTGTAAGAAAGGTGATATGGCGAGTGCCACAAGGATTCTTCATCAAATGATTGAAAGTAAGAAATGTGTACCAGATGTGGTAACTTACACGACTTTGATTGATGGTTACTCTAAGAAAGGAGAATCGCACGAGGCAATGAAGTATATGATGGAGATGGCGAAGCATGGTTGTGACCCTAATGTGTTGACCTACAATGCACTCATAGAGGGTCTTTGTCTAAGCGGAAAGGTAGATGAAGGGAAGAGGATGATGACTAGGATGCGGTTAAGTGGCTTAAGAGACGATATTGTCACACATACGAGCATATTGAAGGGATTTTGCATAGTGGGCAAGTCTGATGAAGCTTTCAAGCATATCAAGGAAATGGTTAGTCTTGGGATGAATCCAGATGTGAAGTCATATGGCATTATTGTTAACGAGTGTTGCAAAATTAGAAAACCAGAAGAAGCAATTTCACTTCTAAGGGAAATGAGGGCCAGGGGCATTAAGCCAAGTGTGTCGAGTTTCAATGCAGTATTCAGAGTTCTTGTGGGCATGGGGAGGCTGCAAGATGCCATTCTTCTTTTAAAGCAGATGCCAGAATTTGGCTGCTCGCCTAATTTCTTATCATACAGCGAAGTGGTATGTGGCCTTTGTAAAGTGAAGGGTAGGATGCTAGAAGTTGAAGAGCTGGTTAGGGACATGCTTCGGAATGGATATAAGCTGGATGCTACCATGTACAGCTGCTTACTTAGGGGGTACTGTGAGGACGGCAATGAGCAAATGGCACTGCAGACGGTTCATGACATGATTAGCGATAACTTTGTTGTTAGTTTAGATACCTTCTCTAAATTTGTCAGTGTGTTGTTCGCAAAGGGATATAACAAAGAGGTTGAGATGGTACATGAAGAGATGATCAGCAGATGCCCTGTACCTGAACCCGACGCAGAGGCATACAAAATGGCTTTACTTTCAACTGTGGATTCATACTTACGTTCGGCAGAGTAAGAAGGGGAAATTCATGTGGTTATGATTTAAAAAAGAAATCATAATTCCCACCGTAATTTAAACATACAGTATGCGGAAGAGGGCAAGGATGTTGAAGGCTTTTAATCAGGCCCAGGCTCCTTGTTGTTCATTGGACATTGGAGCAGGTCTCTGAACGTGTGCAGGGGTAATTTTCGCAAGCCATTAGAATCCGATTCTGGTCTGGGACTGTTAAACACGGAGATCAGTGTGTCGATGTTCAAACCGACCTTAATCTCTCCTACCCTTCCCGAGTGGTAGGTTTTGAAATGGATTGGTAAGTGAAAACTTGTAGTTGATTTTTTATTGAAAAAAATGATAATAAAATTTTTTAAATTATATAAATGATAATTTAGTTTTTCAACTTGTCATAATACTAATGAAATCTCCATAGACTTTTTTGTCAATAATTTTTTTTAAAAAGACTATTTTATCCTTACTAAAAATAAAAAGATTCAATCGTAACTTTTGTTTAAGAAATTACAATTTTTGTTCTGTAAATTGTAAGAGTTACAAGAAATTACAATTTATTAAATGTAATTTCTGTTATTGAAAAATAAGTCCCAATTATGACTTGTGTTTAAAAAATAATAACTTATATTTTGTGAATTGAAAGAATTAAACAAAAAATCATAATTTATCAAATATAATTTTTATGTTTAAAAAACAAGCTCTCAAAGTAACAAATTTTATTCATAACTTTTGTTTAAAGAATCACTACTTTTTTTTAAAGAATTGTAAAAATTGAACAATAAATTATAATTTATTAATAAGGATAAAATGATTTTTTTTAAAAAAAAAGTTATTGACAAAAAAGTTTATAGTGACTTCATTGATACTGTGGCATTTGGAGAAATCAAATTGTTATTTACATAATTTAAAAAAAAATTATTATCATTTTTTTTATTTTAGCTGGCTTCATTTCTTTTTTAATTGCATAAAAATAACATTAAAACTTTTTGGGTTAAAGAAAAAAAAAATACTTTAAATTTTTTTTAAAAAGTTCTGATTATCTTTACTTTTTAATAAACAATTTTATTTTAAAAATATTAGAAGCGGAGTAATGCTATCCTTTCTTAACTTTTGACCAGCACCGACTAATGTAATTTTTTTAGCCTCTAAAGATAATATGGTTGTCACTCCATGTGCCGATCATTCTTGTCATTTTCTGCTTTTCCATTATTTCTCCGGGCTACTATTTCTTTTGACTCTTCCTAAAAGCTTTTCTATCGGTTTCTTTGCACTTATAATTAGAAGCAAAATCCCAAAGCTGTACACATCACAGCTCTCTGAAACCGCTCTAGTGAGTTGGAATGATCAACAAGTTGAACAATAACCCAAGTCCGAGGGTAAAGTCAGGTTTCTAGTTCTTGGTTGGAACCACTAGCTCTAGCATCAAATTGCAATGTCGGGGATGTGTTGTGTGATGAGGTGGAATTTCAACACGCTGGTTGTCACTAGTTCCGCATTCATGCTAGTGAGCTTGCCCCTGAATCCGCGAAAAGTAGTGATGCTCAAATTCAAGGTCAAAGAAGCTGTGGATTTGGTGGGTTTAAGCATGAGAGAAAGGGTATCAAGCAAATGCATTTTAAGGGAAGGATGGGGATTGGCAAACCAACAGCAAGCTGTGGGTGGTGTGAGTTTGTTAAATTCACAGATGATGTGTTGAAAACAACAAGGGTGAGATTGATTATTGTTATGAAGTGTTCAAAACATTAGAGTTTTAAGCACTTTGTTATTTAAACATCAGAAAAAGGGTGGAATTGCTTTATTTTTATCACTTCAAAAATAACATTGCTCATTCTTAAAAAAGAACACATTTTTTTTTGAAAAAAAAAGGGTATTTTTACCCCTTAATCCAAACTTTTATCTTTTAAGTAATGATAGTAAATGAGAACAGAAATGATCAATTGAATTACTTGTATGTTTAGAATGCTTTCCAATGAACTCTAAAGAAGCTGGTATGTGTGCTGTGCCCTGATCACTCCAACTTAGATGATCTGATGTGAACTTCCCTCAAGGGAGGTCAGCACTACTTCAACATGGAGAGTAGCCCAGCTCAATTAATTATGACACCAAATATGTATTGTTAACATTGCAGTTGGCGTAGATGACAGGCTCATGTGGCAAGATTTAGCTTGTGTTTGGATTAATAAAATTCATAATTGAGATGGGGACTCAACTGAGATTAGAAAAAAAAATTTGTGACTATAATTTATATTTGAATATCTTTTTTTTTAAGTCAGTTGAACAAGTTAAAATTTATTTATATTATTTAATTCAAAAATTAGTTGAGAGATATAATGACAAAAATGGATATGAGTTTTGTTGTATATATTTTTATGACTAATTTGATATTTTTAAGAAAAAATATTAAACTTAAAATTATATTTATTTAAAAAAACATAGATTACAAATATAAAATATCTTGGTAAGACAAAAATCTTAAATTTTTAGAAAGGTAGAATTGAATGATAAAATTTAAAATACTCACTTTTGAAAAGTTAAAATAAATTTATAAATTTAAACTAAATATGATATGTATATATATTAATAAATAAAATATTAAACTTATAAAATAGAAATAAAACATATTCAGAACATTATAAAATTATAATGTTATATTATGATATTCTTGTTATGATTTTTATTTATTTGTTCTATATATTTTAGATTCTTTCTTATCTTCTTAAATTACACATATATTCCAGATATTTTATATTTTAAATTCTAAATTTCATAAAATATAGAATTTTTATTTTATTAAAATTGATTGATATTTTATTTGTTGGATCAATATATTTATATACTATAATTATAATTGTCTTATAATAGTATAATCTGGAATAGAATATTTAAAAATAGATAAATTATTATAATATTTTAATTAGTCCTCCTCGGCGTCCACTTCTTCAACTTGCTCCATGTCAACCAGAATCATCAGATCCAAATTTAGAACAGGCGACCACAACGGGCAACCAGCTATGAATGGACAAGATGATGCCCGACCTCAATTGCCATGGCAAAACCCAGGGCCGATGACAGTAGCGATTGCAGAGGCAGCGACAACCACAAAGGCTTGCTTGCATTCACCAGAAGAGAGAAAATTGTGAGCTCCTGCAATGCTGATATATGTGGTTATCACCATGAAAACAACATCAAGAAAGAAAGTAGACTTGAGATTTGCACAGCTAATTTCACATGCAGGGATAACAGTGAAAGAGAAAACCATATACCAGCTATTGAATGACCTGGTTGTGCAGCCAAGAATGTTACCGATAGCCATAAAAAGCGAACAACACACATGGTCGAGATTGGGCAGCAGCAGGGGTATCTCTGGTTAGATCCGGCAGAGCAAAGGAGAAGGAGGTGAAGGACGAGCAAGGGACGACGACATCATAAAGAAAGAAGGTGAGAAGCAGAGCAATTTAGGTTGCATAGATACGAGTATGAGTATCCGATATGATACGGCATGATATGGGGGTATGGTAAATTTTTAAAATTTTAGGATACGGGTACGGGAATATTTATAATATATATTTCAACATTTTATAATGTAAGTATAGGTATTTTAATTTTTAAACAAGAATTTATAAAGTAATATAAGGATATTTATAGTAATTAATTAAAATATTAAGTGTTTTTTCAAGTTTTTAAGTGATATAGTAAAAAATTATTGAAAAAAAATCATATAACAAATATTAGAATATGGGATACGTATACAAAAATATCCTACAAATATTATATCGAATACGTATCGAATATGGGTATGTTTACTTTTTTAAAATATTCGTGCTACATAGGAAGAGAATTGGGTAGAGGTGAAGATGATGAAAAGAGAGAAGCATTAAATATTCCCCCAGCATTCACCATTCACCAATGTTACCACAAAAGTTTGAGCAACTGGCTTTCACAAAATATGCTTATTGGAACCCTAATGCTAGTTGGGATTTTTTTCATTCAAACATGAATTTTTGGGCTTTTGAGTTGGGATGTAATCCAAACAAGTACTTAATCGTACATCAATTACAGCATATAAATTAGCAGCAATACAAGATTCTCATAGTGAGGAGATTTTTGTAATTTATTATTTTTTAAAATCAATGCAAAAAAATTGTTCAGAGATTTCGGAGAAGAATTCCCTCCGATATAATATAATCAGCTAGAGAGTACAAAGACAAAAGAGTCTAGCTCGTGTGAGGTGTAACGCCACTTTTGTCAAATAAAACCAGATCACTACATTCACTAGGGATATCAGCTAGGAAAGTAAGATCATAAGGTTGTTCCTGGGCCATTTTGGCCAAGAAATGAGCACACGTGCTTGCCTCACGAGCCACGTGCATCACTTTGGAGTCCTTATGAGCACATATATGGTCTCCCGTACCTCTGCAATGACTTTCAGCGAAGGGATGATCTGTCCTTACACCTCTGTAGATGAGATTAATCGCGTCCACTAATTTGGTCTTTAATAACACGTCCGGTCCGTATTCTCAGTTGTTTCCGATTCAAATCAGGTTAATCCCGCGCGCTCTCTTTCTCTAGCTGTGTTTGCAGTGGGAGGCTGAATACTTTTTCCAACTCTCTCCCTCCATTGATAGACTATAACGGCGGGTACCTCGGATTTCATCTCTAAATGGAAGGAGTCTCTCCGTCCAATCCTCGTAATAAGGTGGAAGACGTTTTCAAGGCTCGTAAAAATGCCCTCACCAAGGGTATCCCCTGCTTTCTGCTTTTTATGGTTTTTCCATTCAAGTTTGGGCATCTTTTCAATTTCATCTCATTTGGCTGTCAATTTCATTTGTAATATGCTTCTGCAGATGCCGATAAATTGGATCATCTCTGTGATCCCTGTGAGTTTTCACTCTGTATTGACTCTTTTTTTTTCCCCTTGCATTCAGCTTCATTTCTCTGTCTTTGCTATGTTTCATTTGAAGCGTTGTAAGTTAATTCTACTTTTTAGAGCATTCAGTGATGAATTATGTCTGGGCAAACAAATAAAAAAGAAAGAATCGAAGAAATCATTATTTTTAATTTTTTTGTTGTATTATTTCATATCTTCATCCCCTTAATTTTCTATTTTGCAGTTTGTAAATCTTTTTTGCCAGCACTATATATGGAGCAAATATAGAGTTCTTGGTGGACATCCATTAATAAATTGCTTTATCCGGTTTCTTTCTATTTCCTTTTTTCCTGTATTTTTTCTTCTTTTCTTGGTTCAGGACCTTGAAATAAAATTTAAGTAGATACTTTTTCCTACATGGACGATAATAAATCGAAAATTTTTGAAAAACTGTAATTTTTTAAATTCTATTTGGTGGAAAAAAACATAAATTCTATTGAAATTTATATAAACCATTAGAGGAGTAAGTTAAAAAAATTACTAGTAGCTCATTAAAATAGAGTTAGATTGAAAAGAGAGGAGCTCATTATGAATGGCTTTTATTATCAAGTAAAATTACTTGTTGTGGCTTTTTCTCGAGGGTCTAAGCTTTCATTTGATAAAGCTGATAGGTAGGTGCGTGCTTTCCTTTCCCCCTTAGCTTCATGTTTATGCTCTGCCCTCCCCACTAGTTTGTCATCAAATTACTTGATTTGAAAACAAAATGATGAAGATTTTCAACTTGTGCTACGTTACACTTTTGCGCGCTGGACTTTGATGTTAGCTTCTATTGCTTCTGTTTTCTTCTTGTTGTGACTTATTATGGGTTTGAGGTTCTTGCAGCCGAGACAGAAGGAAAGAAAAAATCATCAGCTTCTAGTCCAAGCCGAGCCAAGTCTATATAATCGTGATCTAACGAGGTATACAAGCTCAATATTTTCTTCCTCGTGAAGTTATTACCAATCACTGGGCGAGAGCCTAAAGTCTGTTAAAATTTGGAACAACACTTGGGGTGTAATAATTAATTTAGTATGTGTTTTTGGTTGGCAAACGCAGCGAGGATCTAAAAATCAGCCAAAGCACGCATTCAAAAGCTATGGAATCTGAGGCAAGTTTGGAAGATAGAGATGAGGAGGAGAATGAGGATAAATTGTGTAAGACGTGTGGACAGAAAGGGGGGTCGTGGGTTTATTGTTTCCGGTGTAACTTGAGGTTCCATAAGTGTGACAACATCAAAAAGAAGCACTGTAAACATATGGGACATATATGTCCCTTACCCTATGCAATCCAAAGTTGGCTCGTAATCTAACTGTGGTTATAAAAGAAAAGTCCATTTTCCAATTACTCTCACCCTAACATATTTTTTTTCTCTCTTAACTAGCTCTTAGCTCTACAAACAACAGTTTGGGCTAACCAAATAGTATCGCAAACAAGCACTCGAAAAGTTTACGAGGCTAATCATGCAAAACTATACCTATCAGCTTGTCTTGTTTGGCTATTGCTCCGAATCTTTGCAGTTTTATGTTTGATTTATATACTTTAATTTCGACTTATGAGAAGAAATGTGCAAAACAACACACCAGCATGAGTCCTTCGCAATGGGTCATCATTTACTTTGGGGAAAAAACCTAAGTTGCATAGATACTGATACGAGTATCCGATACGATACGGCATGATACGGGAATACGGTAAATTTTTAAAATTTTAGAAGACAAGTACGGGAATATTTATAACATATATTTCAATATTTTATGATATAAGTATAGGTATTTTGATTTTTAAACAAGAATTTTTAAAGTAATATAAGAATATTTGTAGTAATTAACTAAAATATTAAGTGTTTTTTTAAGTTTTTAAGTGATATAGTAAAAAAATTATTGAAAAAAAATTATATTACAAATATTAGAATATGAGATACGTATAGAAAAGTATTCTACAAGTATTATATCGGATACAGGTACGTTTACTTTTTTAAAGTATCCATGCTACATAGGAAAAAACTAGGAGAACAAGGCAGTGTTTGGTTTCTATTTTCAAAAACATTTCTTTATTTTTTAAAAATAAAAAATAAATAAAAACTCATTTGGATAAGTCTTGGATTTAATTGTTTCTAAAACTACATACCTTTTTTTTAAAAAAAATAGAAACATCTTAAACCTTTTTTCATTTTTTTCTTGTTTTTAAAAAAATTACATTTGATTGTTAAAAATTATAGTTATTATATCATAACCCACCACCATTTACTAGTTGTGACCATCATTATCGAACAATGTTTTAATTCTAAGACTATTTTTAAATTAATACAATCAAACAGATTTTTTTTATTTTGTTTTAAAAAAGAATTTGCTTGGAGTTAAGAAAGAAAAAGAAATAGAAATATTGTGTATAATGAATTACTTGAGCGGCTCCGTTCAGTTTTTTAAAATTGGTTAATGAATAAGGAATAGTCTGTCTTTCTTAGGCAAATCACATGCATGTTGCCTCCTCTAAAAAGTCCTGTGATAAGACTCTCGTGTGCTTCCTTTATTGGGGGATGAAGACTTTATGAACGTCTGTACTATAATCATGAAACATGGATCGCAGTACTGCCGATTATTTCCATGTGTGCTGACCGAAAGGTCACGTATATATGTATAACTTTGCCATCCCTTCCTCATGCACTTAGAAGATTTTAACTATACGTCAGCTATATATTACACGTGAATAATTAGCAACACTGCAAGAATCTTACAGTGAAGAGATTCTCCTTCTTAAAAAACAAGTCAAAAGTAAAAAAATTGTAAGGAGATTCTGGAGAAGAATTCCCTCCAATCCCACCCAACGCAGATAAAATTCGAGTAAATGGTCTCATAAAATCGGCTTCACCATCTCCCAGCAAATTAAAGCCTTTTAAAACACATCAGATGGATCTCCTCAAAATTTTCAATCATTTCCTATTCAAGTCCGATTAATCCTTCTCTCTCTATGTCAAATACCTTTCTCTTTCATTCGTTCCTTCATTCTGTTCACAGATTATAATGGTGGAAGGCTCTGCGAACAATATTAAAAAAGAATTGGAAGATGTTATCTCCGACATCAAGCTTCGCAGAATGTCCCTTATTAAAGCCATCACCTTGGGTATTTAATTTCCTTCTTTCTGTATTTTCTTTTTCCGTTCCCGCCCCCCCCCCCTTCTAATTATTTGTCCCATTCTTTGATCACTCTCCTCCTCCTCCTCCTCCGCCTCTCGATTTCAATTCTAATGTGCTTCTCCAGATGCTGATAAGCTTTTTCGGCTGTGCGATCCTTGTGAGTTTTATCCTCTGTCAATCCTCTTTCTCTAATTTCTGCTTCCTCTTTCTTTTTTCAACTCTTGATTCATGATCAAAGGAAAAGGAACAAGAAAAGATCAAACATAAGCATTCAAATCTTGGCATGTTAATTTGCTGATCAATCTTTAACCACCGGAAAGTTAATTCCACCTGGCATTGGGTCATGAATTGTGTTCATGCAAATAATAACAATAATAATCATCATCATTATTATTTTTTACGTTCTTTCATATGTTCATCAAATTTTTCCCTTTAATGATCTCTCCCCTAAACGGAAAATTATTAAGTTCTTGTTGTACACTAAATGCTTAATTTATCCGTTCTGTTTCCTTTTTCTGTATTTTCCCCCTCCCCTTTTCGGTCTTGGACCTTCAAATAATTTTTTTAACTACCTATTTTTTTCTTCGTGTGATATGCCATGGAGAAAACAAATTTAAATTTTAGTGTACCTATTTTTAAATATTTAAATTATATTAAAATTTGTTAAAAAGGTCAGAGGAATAAAAAAATTCACGCAACTCAATAAAGTATAAAAAAATTGCATGCTGGAAAAATCTTATTTACGACAACTTATAAATTCGACAAAAAAAAAACAACTTATAAATAAAGTTATTCTCTTTAAATTAATTTTATAAAATATTAAATTAAAATATCAAATTTGTCAACAGTTAGACTTTATCGTTTTCTTGCCTCGGTCTTTCCATCTTTAATTAGATGATCAAAATATCAAGCAGTACTCATTTTATCCCAAAAAAAAAAAAATATGAAGCAAAATGAGTTATTGTGGTATAGCAACTTAATCAAACCACTCAAATCCAGGTCAAAAAAATCATTCAAATCGCGCGTAGCATAAGTTTACTTTACGCGCGCGCACACAGCATGCAAAATCACCGCACATGACAGTGGATGAAATACACAGATAAGTGGGTTAATGTACGTACATATGCAATAAAACTCGTGATTCTGCAGCGAAGAGAGGTGTTGGCTTAATTGGATTTTCTGACGGGATCACGTGGACCCCCAAAGTCAAACCGCCAGCTTCGAAAGTATTTTCAGATCTTCCAGAACCTACATTTGGCATAAACTTCGTCAGAGATAGGATGCAAAGAGACGAATGGCTATCCCTTGTTGCTGACTATAGCGATGCCTGGTTACTCTCTCTGACTTCTTTCAAGGCCAATAAGCATCGATTTGATGCACCTGATAGGTATGTACTTATTGCTTGCCTTCCCCCTTTATGTGTTTTTACTCTGCCCACTAGTTTCTTGGATCTTGGACTAAGCTTTTTGTTTCACGTTATTAGCTTCTTCTTTTTTTTTGGCTGAAATGAGCTAATAACAGTGCTTCACTTTTCTTCCTATTGTTGGGACTTGCTATATCCACTTCTCATTAATTCTTCATGCAGGGTTAGCCTGTATACAAGGATCGCTAATCTTCCAACACTGTCTACTGAGATTCGTACTTGGGAAGCCCATAGAGAGCAAGGAAAGAAAAAATCACCCGCTTCCAGTCAAAGCCACACAGCTAAACCTAGACGTAAGGTACGTAGCAATGATGTCCCCAGCAGTAATACATCAAGTCTTACAAGAATTTGGATCAACTTGGGGTTGGTAATAACTAATTCTGCGCATGTGTTTTTGGTTTGCACAAATGCAGCGAGGACGATCTAAAGATGAGCCACAGCCGTCAAAAGCAATAATATCGGAACCAAAGGAGGATGAAGCAGCTGGTGTGGAAGATCAGAAGGAAGAGGAGGAGGACCAAGATAAAGTGTGTACGGAATGTGGACAGAAAGAATGGTGGGTTTCTTGTTCCAAATGTGGCAGTTGGACCCATGGAAACTGTGCCAACATTTCCTCTTCGTCCGAGCTTGTCAAGAAGAAGGATAACTATGCATGTCTGTCCTGTACAAAGCCTCCTAAAAAGAGAAAGTTTCGATCATCATGATCTGTACACTCATTAGTCATTACCTTTACTCTTTTAGGATTACAAATTTGTATACTTGTTTACTTGCGTTACTCTGGTCTCTGCAGTGCCTCTGTTGTCCCATTGAAACGATGTCGTTTTGTTAGCAGGTTAATATGTGCTAGGCAATCTTTGCCGTCCATTTTTCGAGGATGGTGTGGATAATGGTAGCCAATTATTCTACTGAAGCCTAAAAATCTAGAGCATGCAAATTTTAAGTCAATAGACAAAAAGTTGTGTTCTTTAAAATATTTAGGTTTTCTCATGAGGAGAAATGTGCAAAAGAACATGCTATTAGAATCCCTGTCAACGGGTCATCATTTACGCTGGAGTAACCCTCCACAAGCATTTAGTAATTGGGGCTGCATGTTGGCTCTTAGTAGACATTCATTTCAGGAACTCATAGGTAGTAATCATGGTTGTTGCAGACATGGACATTGAAGCCCACCTCGGAGCCAAACCTCTGTAACAAGCAAGGATGCCACCTTCCTTCTTCAAATTCCTCATTGTCTGCACAAGTCTTGATGGCCTTCTTCGTCCATTTTCTTCTGTAGCATCCAACACTTGCATCCTTGTCTCGATAGTGTCAAGTTGCCTACTTATAATCATTGACACCCCACTAGCCATAATCGCGCTCAATCCTTACACTGCCAGGATTACCCTCGAATCACTTCTAAAACCACAGACATTCGCCAACTCATTACTCTCATCTGTCCGATCCATGACATAGCAATTACCAGAACCGCCCCACACGAGCCTTTGGACCACAGAGTAAGAAGTCCACCAAACAGCATTGGATGGTGCTTAAGTCAGCATTGAAGTGCCAAATTCACTGTACAGTCCTCGCACTCCATCTACGCACAGAATTTTTCTGAACGCATCCGCACCATTCCCGTAAGTCCCAAAATTAACACTGGGAAGTATTTTGTATTGATGTTGCAGCCTTGAACCATGAGTCTTTGGCTCACCACATCAACTGGGGTCCAAAGAGTATGGAAAGAAATCCAGTATGTATGTTAGGAGTATGGAAGGAGAGACTTTTCTTGTTTTCATGTTGCGCAGAGAGATTTGGTGAGCGAGGGGGATCAGTTATCACACCATGTAAGTGCGTCGACCATGAAGGGGGCTAGAAGAGCATTAAGTGAGCGCTGGGATTCTTACCAGAAACGCATGTTCATTAGCTCTGATCGTTCTTAAGTTCAGTTACCCAGTCTGTTGACGAAGCAAATTACTGGAGAAAGTTTGGTGAGGAGAGGAAAACAGAAGGGGATCCAAACAGCAGGCAAGGATGGTTTCTAGAGTGAGAAGAAGCAGAAGGAGATAAGACAAGACAATGGGGAGAGAACATGGTTTCGTAGATTTTAAGGAAGGTTTAGGGATAGTTGTGGGTGACGAGTCAGTTTGGGTATCGGCAAAAAAGGGTGATCTTTCTGACTCACCATCGGCGTAGAATGTGGGGGAATAAATGTCAACGTATGAGTATCAAACCAACGATACAAACCCAATTAAGTAGGCCTCCCACAATGACCGACTGATCATTCTTAGGAACAAACACGTCGCAGTTAGAGCACAGTTCAAGAGCCAATGAATGTTCATTTTTATTAATTTCATCAGTATTGATATAAAATGTCGCAGTTAGAGCACACTTTAAAAGCCAATGAATGCTCATTTTTATTAATTTCATCAATATTAATATAAAAAAATTTAAAAAATAAAAGTATATAAAATTTAAATACATCCTCATATAATAAATTTAAAAAATAATATTATATCATTTTTTCTCTCATAAAAAGTAATTTTAAAAATACTTTTTAAATATTATTTAAAAAATCATACCATGATTTATAAATAAAATTAAATATATTTTTTAAAATGTGTCTTATATAAGAAATTGAAGAGATAATGGTTATACTGCCGCATTGGTCTGCATACACCCTCTGCTCCACCTTATAATTGAGTTATTAATGAATATAGAAAAAATTAATACGGATGATATAAGTACCCAGATTAATGATTTTTTCCTTACGGTGAAAGCATGCATATTACATTCAATGTATTGTACCATCTTTTTCTTTTTCATTAATAGATTGAAATTAACACATTTTCAGCTGCTGCTATTTTCTTTGCCTCCAAGAAGGAATCTGGGATAGTAATGCGCTCTGGACTGTTCGCTTGTTCGGATTTTTTTTATTTGATTTCAAGAGGTAATGTAAAACATATACTCTTTCTGATTTTATATTAAAATGGGAAGTAGTTAGATTTATTAATATTGTCTGAAAAAGAATGAAATTTTTTATGAGGATGACACATAAATCTCAAATGAATCATTTTGTTTAAGCAAAGTCCAACAAATTTCAAAATGTAAGATGAGTTACTTATGGCCTTATATTTTCAACAATATATTACTCATTCCGTTCAAAAATATAAGGCATTTTTTGAGAAATTAAATATTTAAAAATGTAAGATATTTTTAATTTTTTGAAATATAATCATTACTTTTTTTAAAAAAATATCCATGTTGATGAATGAATTTAGATTTATTGTAAGATATTTAATAAGAACAAATATAAAAAGATAGGATGTTTAAAAGTAAGTAACTATTTTATTGAGAATGAAATTTGATTAAAAATGACTTACATTTTTAAACAGAAGGAGTATATAATATGTTTCTAATTTTGAATTTAAAAAATTAGTTATAAATTCAAGAAAATAAAATTATAAATTTGGGAGGTAAAGATAACTCTCAAAAATATTTAAATAACAACATGTTACTTTTCATATTTGACTGTTAAGATTTATGTTTTTATTAAAATTAAAAAAATAAATCACAAATTCAAAACAACATAATTACAAACTTAATAGATAGTGTTACAAATTCCTAAAAAGTTTGAATAATGACTTTTTAAAATTTAATCAACATTTATATTTTTTATTAAAATTTAAAAAATGAGTTGTAAATTTAACAAAATAAAATTATAAATTTGAGAGACAACATTATAGAATATTAAATTTGGGAGATAAATCTACAATTTCATTATCTTGCATTTACAATTCTTTTTTTCATTTTAATAAGAATCATAAATCTTAATGATTAAATACTTTTAAAAATTTACAATTTTATCTCCTAAATTTACAATATTGTTTTGTTGAATTAGCAGCTTGATGTTATATAAAAAAAAACTGCAACTTGTTTTTTTAATTTTAAAATTACAAATAGATTGTATTACATGATATTAAAAGACATAAGGGACTTACCCTGCACTTCAAAATTTGTTAGCACTTTATTTAAATAAAATAATTTCATTAGAACATAAGTGTTGTTCTCCTAATTTTTTAATTTATTTTTATTAAATCTGTTATTTTTTAAAAATATTTTTTTCTTATATGTAATCTCCTAATCTACAAAAAGTAAAATAAAAAAAGTGAACAAATTTGAAACTTAAGAAAATAAATAATCTTTGTCCTTATTTAATCGCAAATATGAAATATCCACAATCTTCTAGAACCGGTGAAAGAGTAGCAACCGAACATACTGGAAACCTGTTCACCATTCTCTTCGTTCATCCAGAAACTTCCTTTTTCTTCCATCAATCATTCTCTCACCCTCTATAAATTCCCGGTTCCACCATTCCTGTCCCATCGTAGACGAGCAGCTTCTTCAAATCCAGATTGAAAGTAATTAGAAATCTTAAGCAACAACGCAGAGGAGTCATGGATATCAGATTTTCGGCTTTGGATTCCCCATTGTTCCACGCTCTCCAGCACATGATGGACGTGACGGACGACGCTGCTGACAAGTCCGTCAATGCTCCGAGCCGCACATACGTGCGTGATGCGAAGGCCATGGCTGCCACTCCGGCGGACATCAAAGAGTATCCGAACTCTTACGTCTTCATCATCGACATGCCGGGCCTGAAATCTGGGGACATCAAGGTTCAGGTGGAGGACGACAATGTGCTTCAGATAACTGGGGAGAGGAAGAGGGAGGAAGAGAAAGAAGGAGCCAAGTATGTGAGAATGGAGAGAAGGGTCGGCAAGTTTATGCGCAAGTTTGTGCTGCCTGAGAATGCCAATACCGATGCCATTTCTGCTGTGTGTCAAGACGGAGTGCTCACTGTAACCGTCCAGAAATTGCCTCCTCCAGAGCCCAAGAAGCCCAAGACCATTGAGGTCATGATTGCTTAAAGGGCATTCCTCTTGTGTTTTTGGTTTGGACTTGCATTCGAGATCTGTCTGTGTGTGTGATCAAACTAAAAGACTGTGTGAGTGGGCTTCAAGCCCTGCACGAGTTTGTAGGTAATTAGCGCTTTGTCGTTTGCTTGATCAGTGCTTGTAGTGGCTTTGTTACTTTAAATGAAACAGTCATAAGGTTGGTTTTTCTCTTTTTTGTCGAGACTTGTTTGGATTTTTTTAGCTGCAAACTCCGTTCCATCTTACAAAACGAAGGGTTAACTCCAAAGGGGGTGGCTTCAGCTGGCACAAAGAGATGGTATATTTTTCTAATTCTGAACCTGAATGCGTAAATTAAAAAAAAAAAAAAAACTTGATAATGTATTTCTAAAAAATATAAATGACATAACGTTTCAAGTCTGATGAGTCGGAAAACAAGAACCAAGAGGCGGCGGGCTGCTTCAAGCTAGTTACAAATTTCGTGGAAGACCTTGACAGCCGCTGGGCTCTGCTCCAAGGTAAGCCATGGGTTACGTCACATGCGGAGGCCAGGCTTCCGGTGGTGAGGGACATCCAACATGTGCTTGAACTTGCACGTTCCGAGCCTCGTTAAAATGATTATAAGGCAATAGGCGTCTCGAAATATAGAAACCTAATCTGATGATGAAGAAAATTTATGGCTGTCTCATCTATCTATCTATCTATCATATGCTCGCTTGTTGAGATGATGGTATGTCCACCAATTGAACATATTGGTATGAATATAAGGCAGCCTATGCTTCCTGCTATGACGGATTTTGGTTCTAGTGCAACTGTTACAAGTAGGTCTTGTCTCTCTTTCATTTAACGTTGCTGAGGAGGAAGCACCCTTTCTGGCAAATAAAGCAATGAAGAAGCCCTCACCATCCACAGCTGGGTCTGTCCGAAGCAGATGTTCAGCTGCCAGGTAAGAAGCAAGCAGAATTAAGTGTAAAAAGCGGACAATTGTGTGTGTTTCATTTGGGGTAACAAAAATAGAACTTAGGGAAGAAAAAATAGAACTTACAGCCCTCAAAGACTGGAAGCCCACGGCGCTGCCACTGGGGGAATGGGGTCACCAGTTGGAACCCATATGACTCGGCCATGGGTAGAACAGACATGATGACATCTTCATTCTCGATTTGATTGATAGAGCATGTGCTATAAACAATTCTCTCAACTGTAGGAACTGCCAAAGGAAATAATAGAAGCAATGCCTTCAGAAAATTTCAAAACCTCTGAAGGCGAATCATGGTCTATCTCCAATTATGTTTAGAAACAAGGTACAGATTGGGAGGTTTTTTGTTTCCAGGGTGGCAGGAATAACTGACACGGATATATGAAGTGACTTACAGGCGAATGTATGTTCAAGAGCCTTTCTCTGAAAATTCGCAAGCTTGTTCAATCTTTCCATATCAAAATCTTGGCCTGTGTAGTTAAAATAGACAATAAAAAAGAAGAATTGTCTTCAAGTAAAAGTGGCAGGACTTATGCAAAAGGCTACAAAGTAGGTTATGCTACATTTTCTGAAATTAGTCCGACCATTGACGCCCAGTTTGTTTTGAAGTTATTTTCTTTGACAAAATGTTATAGAGACTCTATAAGTTACTCTTTCTGCAACCATGGGTATCAAATTTTAAGTCATTTGGAGGCATCTCTAGAAGAGCATTACCAGCTGTAAGTCACAATTGCGCGCAACACAGTCCACATGGCTTTTCCTTAAGTTAAACAAGAAGACATTTATGTCTAGGGCTGATCATCCAAGGGAAATTCCTTGGGTGTTCATGTGATGCTCTCCAATAATGGTAATTGGGCACTTATTAGATGCATACAGTTACTTTTGTTGGCCCTAGAGAGTGCTATAGATATCAGAGGACACAAGGAGGATCACATGAATGATGCCAGCTCACAAAGTTCCACCGAACTCTAGTAGCTGTAAACAGTATTCTCTTTTGGAGAAAGCCGCTGCACTCAGTCAAATTCATGAAGGCATCTAAGTTTTTTGCAAAATATTGACACCCTTATATAATCTTGGCAGCAAATAGATGAGTTTGAGACACACAAATGGAGTTGCAGCAGTGGTGCCACATATAATCTTTTGGCCTCCAACCCATCTATTCACGTGCAACCAGGAGATTTGTAACAATAAGCTTAAAAAGTAGGAGCAAAATGCAACCTGCTGCTTTGGAAGGGAGCAAATGGTCTAGCCTTGAAGAAGCAGTCCCAGAACCAGAGCATGAGGGATCCAAAAGAATAGCACGCACCTGCAATGCTAATATGATGGTAGCCACACGCACGCACAAAAGAAAATATATGAACGAAGAAAGACTGCAGTCTTGAAGACGGACAAGAACAGTGACTACATAGGTCATACTTCCCTTCCTGAATGAACTAGAATTAGCCATTCATTATGAATCTTACAAGCTGGAAAATGTCAAAGGAAAAATCTTTCTCTTGATTACATATCCTTGTACAAAATGCTTTTGACAGGAACGAAATCAGCCAAAAGCATTCGAGAGATTGTAAAGTTTGTTATATAAATGACCATCAACCACAATTTTCCATCCCTTTGGGAAAGGAAAAACTTAAGAGAATAATTATAATTGTGGAGGGAAAACTTGAAATATTAGCTTCTGAACATAATAAGCCCACTTCAGTAAAGATACCATGGAATCACCGCAAGGAATATGGAGGTAAATTTTACCTTGGAATATTCAGCAGCCTTGGGATTAATGTTCAAAAAATCCTCATTAAGAACTCTAATATCTGAGCTTTGGTTAAGTTTGAAAGGTAGCATGACAAACTGAAAACTATCAAAATATGACATATCACAAATATTCTTACATAATCCACTATTATCAGATTGCATCTTTTGCTGTCGATCATTATCAAGATAAGCATTTTGACATGTCATGTATCAGTAAACTAGACTGTGGATCCTATATTTCGTAAAGAATTTGAGATGAGCCACATTGTTTATGGTTTATGAATAGTGCAATTTCTTATAGATTTTAGTATATACATATTGATTGATATATATATACATATATATATTGATAATAAAATCAAAAAAAAATGCAGTGATAGATTATTTTTCTGCTGTTATGCACCTGCAAAATGAAAAACATCTATACTATACATCAGAAAATTATTAAAGGATACTAGAAGCGCCAGAAAGTGTTATGGTCTCTTTTAAACGTTTGATCCTTTCTTTACTCAGTTCACATGCTATAACCCTACCCTTTCCCCTCATAAGTGCAGCAAGGTGGACAGTTTTGTTCCCAGGAGCTGCACATGCATCAAGAACCTTCACATATATTTCAAGAGGCACAACTCTTAAGGGTTGGATAAAATAATAAAAATATCATGGAAGTGGCATGCATTTTTTCCTTTCTGAAAATGTTTTAATACAGGAAATATGGAAGGTTCAGAAGATTGCTAATACAAAAAGAGGCAGGCAAAAGCAAGAAAACCACGTGGCAATAATAAATTTTAGATTATGTAATTTAATCCTGTCACACTTGACATGATATCCCAAATTCCCTATCTCATGATCAGCTATCAGAAAAGAAAAAATTTTCTGCGATAGTGCTCTTCTACTGTCAATGAGCAGTAGTATTAGTTCTTCATGTCTAGGTTATTTGAAGGGTAATTTTCACTTCAAAATCATGATATTAAGTTACATGCCATGAAAAATTTAGGAATGCATGTTACTCGTGGAATCACCCCACCAGCGTTTCCTAAATGTTTAGCCCAGATAACTCAATCCATGAAAATAAGATACTCACAACGCCGAAGACAAAAGTAGACCTTTCTCATTCATTTTTAATTTTGAGAGTGAGCGAGTAGCAAGCCATTTCTTAAGAATCTTCAAAAATAGAAGTTTAATAGATGATATTAAGCAACAAAAATTATAAGCATATGTGATAGACAAAGGTGCATATTAGAAAGATAATGAACTTCTATCTTTATTAAAAAAGACTCTGGACATACAACATATTCAAGGCAGCATAGCTCACCTCCCATCCAGGTTCAGGGCCAAGGGCTGGTGCCACCATGGAACTGGCCTTACCCTAGTAATGTCAACCACAATATCAACAAAAAGATCACCAAGAATGAATAATGGGGAAAGGGGGGGTGAAGAAAAAGGGAAAGGAACAAACAGCTTTTCCTTTCTCAAATCACAAAAATTCACTTTTCCATCAACCGCATGTAGGTTATATGCATGTATAGGCTTGGAAACAAGTTTTACGCAAAGATTTTCCTTCTTTCTTTCCTTCTTTCCTTCTTTCTTTCTTTCTTTCTTTTTTTTTTTGGGGGGGGGGGGAGGGTTTCAAATAATTCCTACTTGCAGAAAGATTCCTCCATTCTTGACAAGAGGATGGTCGTGCAAGTCAGTGCCTGAAGGAAGTATTAGCAACTCAGGCAGCAAGTCATCCACTTTAACCTATTTGACAAGCAAAGTGAAGATTATTGGGTAAAACAAACTATTACCGATTAACAAATAAAATAAGAACGTCGAGACAGAAAGTACCAAGTATTTTTTCCTCAGATCGAGCAAGGCAGAATCAACATCCAGTTTAAGTGTATTTACACGAACATATCGAGGTATAGAAACACCTGGATCAGAACATTTTTACCCTCCTCAATATCAAATGAACAATAGCTCCCAAAGAAGCTTCAATTGAGAACATACTTATTTGCCAAACATAAACTGTAAATAAAGCATACTCTGCAAAGAACTATAACCTTGAAAATATAAAAACTTAAATAAAGGTTTTGTGAAGGGGGAAGATGTGAAAACTGACCAGGTACTTCATACAAAGCAACCAATTGTTCAATGCCTGTCACTTTTCTCTGCAACAGAAGCTGTTTAAGAGTTGACTGTAGGACATCTTTGTGACAGGAGAGGAACTTCTCTGCATCACCAACCAATGAAACTTCCTGGAAATTTACTATATGAAAGTTAAATTATCACTCATAGTCTGCTACAACCTTAAAACTAGATAACACGATGCTCTCTTTGTTTATTAAATTTTTTTGTTGTGCAACACTTCCCGAAGAAGAAGCATGAAGAGAAGAATAAGGAGACCTTCTAAGCAGATTTTGATTATCAAATCTAAAGGCCCTTCTCAAAAAGAAAGCAAATAATCAGATGCATCACTTGCACTGGTATCTCACCCTCAAAGAAAGCTCCACCTCTTCCCACCCGACCCTCCAAAATGCCGACAAATTATCTTGTGAAGAGGTAATTCTCATATAGAAAAAGCACACATTGCAATGTGAGGAAATATAAATCCTTACGCGCTAAAACACATTACCTGACCAAAAAGAATATCGTAAACGACAATGTATATCAATTCTTCTTGTCTCTGTGAAAGCAATGGTAAATCTTGTGTCAGAGAATGTATCAACTGAAAAATGACCCAAGCTTATAAACCTTGCACCAGTGACGCCAGCAGAAATAAGAACTAACATCAACAATGATAACGAGCATGCGAGTATTTCAACCCCCGAGAGAGGACAAGCACAATGTTGATATGCTTATACCTTCCACTTGCTGTTCAAGATAGAAGAAGCGTCCAGGATTTCTTTGATGATAGGTAGATCTGGGAACACGTAAAAACATGCCATGTAGTTGAGTTGAACTGTTGAACTGGACTATTTGTATGAAATAAACAAGTTATAACGCTGGATTTATGCAAATCAAATCTGGAACGACTTCTCACAACCAACATCAAGCCAGCAATTTTACCCTCAATGATGACTGCATTGATGTTATCATAATTTGCCCTTTTTTACATGAAATGAAACATTACTTCAAACCGCCTTAAGATGTGAACTCAGGAAAGGAAAAACTTTTAAGACCGTAAACAAAGAATTACGTAAGAAAGTTACTTCTCAGCCAGCATTCTTGTGGGAACGACGTGGATTTGCCCTTTTTTTCCTTAATGTAGAACAGAGAAGCTCCCTGAAGATACAGGGCAAGGGAACGAATGGGGAGGAAATGGAACTAAAAGCTTACGTTTAAGCGTCTGACAAACAAGAGCAAAGGTGCCCTTCTTGTTTCTGATGGAAGGCCTGTATATTAGCGACTTGATAGAAGCAACGGCTCGGCGTTTAGCGTCGCCGTGAAGAACCATTCTCAGCACCTGTGCTGCCTCTCTTCTTGCGAAGTACGCCGACCTCTCCGCTCCACTCATGCGCCGCTTTTGATCCTTTTTATCGGCGGCTATGTCTCTAGATGATGGCCTCTTGGTCGTCCTATTGATATGACGCGCCATTTCTTCCTCTCGCAGAGAAGGTAGGAAAGAGAAGAACCAGCTGCTTAGGGGATCGGGTCTTGACCTCAGTGCCGTGGCATGATCTAAACGACGTCGTTTATTGGTTCATGCCATAACCTTAACCTCTGCCCTCCGGCCTGAGAAAAATAAAATAAAATAAAAAATATATTAAAAATAATTTTAGATTATTATTTTTTTCACTTACCTTATAAATTATTTCTATCAATTTTATTAATATTAATATTAAAAAATATATAAAAAATAAAAATGCATAAAATTTTAAATATATTTTTATATAATAAATATAAAAAGTGATATCATATTATTTTTTTATCAAGAATAATTTTAAAAATATATTTTAAATATTATATAAAAATTATACTGTAACTTATAAATAAAATTAAATATATTTTTTATAATGTAAATTATAAATGAAATATTAATTTAATAAAAGTTAAAATAATGTTCCTTATAATAATTTTAACAAACCTGCCCCTCTAAAAAAAAAATTATATTACATTGGCAGAAATATCTGTGGCCCTTGATCCTTTCCATTGGAGGCTCATTCAGTCATTCCATATTGTTTCTCAATGCCTTTCCCTCGTTTGCCTATCTTAGGAAGGGGGGAAAAAAAATTCAACATCATAAAAATTATTTATTTAGTTATATCATACAACATGCTAAAATGTTGTCACCAATGAACTCTTTCCCACCCCCTCATGTTATATATATTAGCCATTTTTCATAATAAATTGATAAAATTACTTACTCCATTTAAAAATATAAAACATTTTTAATCAAATTATACTCTCAATAAAATAATTAATTATCTTCCAACTAATACTATCTTTTTATATTTATCTTTATTTAATAGAGTGTTTCACTTTAAAATAAATGAAAAGTCACTTATTTATTAGGAGCAGTTTCAATAAAAATACATTAATTACATCTCAAAATATTAAAAATGTAAAATTTTTAAACACTCAAACATAAAAAAATATCATATATTTTTTAACAGGGGGAGTATATGTTAATCACTTCACAGCTTTCCCAGACTTACTTTGCTAAATCGGTGCTTTTAAACAAGTATAAATTTTAAAAAATTATTTTATTTTTAGATCATCTTAATAAGTTAACTATTTCTTTCTTGATTTCAAAGATATAACATTAACGTAAGTGTATATAACATATCTCCCTCGTAAGGCTGGGTAGGAAAAGTGGAATTCAAATTGGGAGAATTTTAATAAAAACTGTTGGACTATATTTATTTTAATTCAAAACATTTAAATTTTTAAAATTTCACTGCAATTTGTGAATATTGATTTGATATTAATTTTTTTTAAAAAAATAATAAAATTGTCCCTAATTTAAATTAATGTAAGAACTATCATATTTTATTTGTTTATTTACTTACGAAATATTATTAATTGTCTTATTTTATTTGTTCATTTTCCTGAAATGAAATCAATTGAAGTGGAGTAATTAACAATATTTTATAAGTAAATAAACAACATACAGTATAGGAATTAACAAGTTACTTTAAGATGATTTAAACGCTTAAAATGAAAATAAATTATGTAGAGTAATGGATAACATTTCATAAGTAAATTAATGAGCAAAGTGGAATAATAAACAAGTAAAATAAAATAATTTTTATATTAATTTAAATGAGGAGTAATTTTATTATTTCTTTGAAAAATTAATATCAAATCAGTGAAATTTTAAAAATTTTAAAAATTTTAATTTAAATAAATATAGTACAAAGGTCTTTGCCGAAATTCTCCCATTCAAATATACTCTTTTGCATGCGTGGACTAAAATCCAAACCAGGCTAAATGTTAGCGGACAGAGATAGTGTACATTATTTGGGCACGAGCCTTCCCAGAAGACAGAGATGGGGGCATATTGGATTTCACGCACCCCTTATATTAACTGACTTGAGTATGCTTTCCAATTATCCGCTGCCTTTCATATTACCATGAAGAAAATTATACGAGGCTGAATTTTAAACCAGTTTTGACCTTGTCTGGTCGACCATCACTAATACCTTATCAAGTTTGATTTCCATAAGTGTTGGTAGCCACCAACTCAATTTGAAAAGCCCCGGAAGATGCTTAGAAAGTGCTTACTCACCTTATCAATTCTCTCTTTCATTCTCTGGTATTCGGATCAAACTCTCCCATATAGGTCCTCTTACTGGTTATCGCTTCCAGTCCTGTCAAATCTAATCCCAGTCCACGAAACATGGTTGACTCTGCTTTTATCGCACACTAGAAAATATGACTTGCCCCGGCTGACCGAAACTCTTGTGTTTAACCACGTTCTCGGCTAGCCCGACGAAAGTGGTAAAAAACAGTACGACTATGTTGTGTTTTTTCAATTCTCTCTTCCAAGTGCCAAGTATATATACTCTGTTTTGAACTTTTAACATGGAGCTTGAAGAAAAATGAGAACGCATCAGTGCGTGTTATCGCCGCCAGTTAAAACAAAATCTGCGGATGATCGACCAATCCAGCTTGTGATAACTGGTATCCGCATGCAAAGACTTAAAAGGAAGACTCGGAGAAACCTGTTTGTGAGATCGCTCCTGACTCGTAATGGTCCCCCCACGGGACCCGCTTCCCAATTAAGTACGTCAATCTTCGAAGTCTTCCCCCAAGTCGTGCTTGGCAAGCCCCACTATCAGCTCTAAGTTAATTGTCCTAATCATTTATCTTTCCATCTTCACTGTTATTGGATACTGCGCAATTAGCCTTGAAGCTTCCCATCCCAGTTCTTAGGAAGGTGAGGATGAAGCCGCCTCGCTCAGCCGTGGCTGTACTGCATTGAGTTTATATTGCGAGAATCATCATCCTAATTTACTTCATACCAATGGTCCCGAACATGAGTGACGATATTTCAGCTGAGGGTGACTTCACTTGCCATCAGTGGCCTTTGGAGCTCTCTGAGTACTTGAAATTCGATGGTGATCATTGGCCAGACAATGATCAAGATCAGTGTTTTGTTCCTGGCGGGCTTGTTCCCAACCAGTTGATCTATCAGAGCTCCGTTGAAGTAAGTGACTTGGGAGGACGTGGCAGCCACGTTGAAGGGTCTGCTAGCTGTGGTAGTACCAGTAAGCCCGCCTAGTCCAGTGCTATTATACTCAATTTGTTTCCCTTGAGAAATATGTTCATATACAGCATATATTTCAAAGTGTGATTCATCAGTTATCTCTCAATGTTAGCACTAATGGCCCCCACTGGTTGGCTGTGTTTTAATCAGGAGACATTATTATCAACGGACGCCAGAAGAAGGAAGGTAGGGAGAGATTTGCATTCAGAACAAGGTCAGAGGTTGAAGTGCTGGACGATGGCTACAAGTGGAGGAAGTATGGGAAGAAGATGGTGAAGAATAGCCCAAATCCAAGGTGGGTGGTTGAACCTAGCGAGAAATATATATTATATATATATATATATATATCCACACATTTGACCCGCGCTTCCGTTATAGGTATCTAGGGGAAGCATGAGCAAGTAAAAGAAATGCTAGGTGTTCATGAAACTTTTGTTTGTGTGATGATTACCTTGTGTGTGTTTATGAATGTAACAGGAATTACTACAGGTGTTCAGAGGAAGGATGCCCTGTGAAAAAGAGAGTGGAGAGAGATGGGGATGATCCCAGGTATGTCATAACAACCTACGAAGGCATCCACACGCACAGCAGTTTTTACTAGCTCCAACGCTATTCACCCTTTTCTTACTGCCTGGGGATTTACATTGCTCTTAATCATTGCAGTAGCCTGCTCTATGTCAAACTGTTTGGTGCCTTCGTGGCTCATTCTAAGAAGCTAATAAAAAGTAATCCCCCACATGCGATATTTGGTAGGTACAATAGTATTTTCTAGGTTAAAAAAGAAATACATCTATCCTATTTTTTTAAAAAAAGATTTTTTATTTTTTTCAGAACATTTTTTTTTATATATCAAATGCGGTCTCATAATCTCCCTCAAGCCTTTGCTTCTCGAGAAACCTAACTAATCAAATAACAATGACCCTAATGCACCAAGTCAAAGCTTCTCTTTAAACACCTTCAGAACATGTTTGGATTTCAATTGAGTATAATTCATTATAAAAATAAATTGATTAATATAATTGATTTTAATTATAATTGATTATGGTAAAATATAATCTATTTGAATATTATTTTTTTAAATTTAATAAAATTAAAGATGTTTGAATTATTTAGTGAAAATTAATTTTAGCTATGTAAATTATTATAAAGGATATTGCTTTTGAGATATATTAAGATATTAAATTTAAATATAATAATATATTTAAATGAATCTTTCCTTTCACACATATGATCTATCAAGCCGTACAAGTCATGGAGAAAACCATAGACTTATGCGACTGAGCTCCGAAATTGAATCCTTGAAGAAGCTGCTACCCACAGCTTATTTCAATAATCAATTAAGGCCTCAACAATCGATTAGTACAATTTTTTGCCGTTTGGGTAATTTTCATTCCAACCATGATTTTGCCCCTCAAAATAGATTAATTCTCCCATTCAAAGGGGCAGTTACTTGTTTCAAACATCCGGAGACAAATTGAGAAAAGGTTACGGAAGAACATGGAGAGTCGAGTATGATTTAAAAAAAAAATTAAATCAACTTTGTCAATAATTAAAGGTAAACATTGGGACGCACATGTGTTGTCGCCACAGGCTAATTTCAAGCCCCACAAACACAGGGTTGACGCATATACAAGATTCTGTTCACGGAAAAACTTGGTTGACTCGCGAGTTAGAACTCCTCGATCATGTCAAATTGCTAATATTAAAGCTCAACTTCTGCTGCTAAATAATTGGGGTGAGCCAACAAATTTTAATAATTCGCACAACATGACCAAAACAAGAGTTGCCAGAGTCACATTACCAGAGATGTCTAACTTGCTAAATATAAGTGGTCAGATGAAAAGTAAATGGGGTTCCAATGTCTTACATTGTCCCCCACCAGCAATGCTTCAGTGCGACCATATTGAAATGGTTCTAACTTCCAACAACGACAGCAACGGGTCTTACTTGGCACCAAAAGCAAAATAGACGAGAAAAAAAAAAAAAGACAAAAAATGGAACACAACTTGCGAGCCAATATCAGAAAGGAAAAAAAAAAAAAAAATCTAACACAACTTGTGAACCAATATCAGAAAGAGAATTAACTACTGCATTTTATAAACAACAAGCACACAGATAAAATAATATCAAGTGTATCCCTCACAGAGCCCTTGTACTCGGAGGCATAATAATGAATACAATATACGGTGATAGATGTCAGGCGTGGAAATGGTCTCCTATCCTTACAATAAGCAGCTAAGATTTACATAGCCCCAATGCGGCACAGTGGGTACACGGAGACTCTTTAGGAGTTCTATCAGTGAATGGTGGATGTATAGTACACGAGTGCTATTCTCCTTAATTAGGCCAACATGCCCGGCTGAAAAATTAATGGGCAGAACCAGTTTTGCTTTATACTAAGCTTTCTATTGCAGCAATCTTCATCAACCATCCAGGTTGCAATTCAAGAAACCTTCATCATGTCTTGCTCTTAAATTTCCTTTGACCTTTCAAATCCACCACAATCACAGTGATGTTATCTTTGCTTCCCTTCTGGAGTGCACGGTTTGACAGATACTCTGCCGCTGCTTGAGCAGCAGGGTCAGCACCCTCTCCCCTCTCGGAGGCTAGTGCAACACCATTTTTCTTGTGCCACAGAAGTATTCGTCTTCGAGCTAGGTCACAGGCCTCTTCGTTCGTCACGACATCCCACAGACCATCACTGGCCAGAATGAGGCATTCATCGTCTTTTGCACGAGGAAGAAACGTGACTTCTGGTTCTGGAATAATCCATGGCTTCAAATATCTATCACCTAAAAAGTCATAGCAAGGGTAATTAGAAAGTGAAAACACTTTCAGCAGAACAAACAAATGCATAATAATCCCAGAAGTTTCGATTCCATGCACGGACTGAAAGGCAACCATCTTTTTAGTATTTTACCGTGAGTCATAAAAACAAAACAGACATCCACAGGAATAACTACCAATTTCCAGAACTTTTGGTTCAAGTCAAAACCAAGCTGGGGCATTGGATCTCTTGAGCTTGGCTCTGATATAGGCTACAGAATTTTGACATTGTCAAACTATCATATGAAAATAGGAGCCCAAACAACTGCAGAGAGATAACAAAGTAAAGAGAACCCAATTTCTCCTCTATACTGATGTATGTTCCACAAACTTACAACCTCAACAAGCAAAAGAATCATAAACTCTTGCCAATAGCAGCAGTTGTCTTGTTATTGCAGCTACACATTCAAAGCAGCTAAATCAATCTTGTATCTAAATGGAATTTCATTTGCATCGGACCATGATTCAGGTCAGCTGAAGCAAGCTTAAGAAATTTAATACTGTGGGAACTAAATATATCCACCCTCTTCCTCGTGTTCCAAAAGTAAAATAAAGTTGGAAACACCAATACTAAAAAAATATGAAAGTAGCAAACAAGCCAAAAGCTATTCTCTTCCACAAAAAAAAAAAATAATAAAAATAAAAATAAAATTATTTCCTCATGCCATGCAATGTAGGAAGATCATAAGCAAATATTCCACGCAGTAAAAATGCAAGTGATATGATATCAAAGCTGAAAATACAAAGATCACAAGAGATTCTTCACAGCAGAGTTTTGCACGTTTCAAGCATGCTCAATCTAAAGGTTCACGGATATAAATAGTACAGAATTAGCAACATATTTGGAAAGAGGCCATTGATAGAAAAGGGATTAAGACATTTTGAAGCCACGTCAAGACCTCTAGGTTTGCTACAATGAAAACATGCTTGACCTCATACTTATACTATTGCCCGAGCCACAGCTTTTGTTTTGGCGTCTTTCATTTACTTTTTGGGGTCTGAGGGAGGTTGGGAAGAGGAGGACAGACTAAAACGTGTTCAAATGAATTTGTTGACGAACTCAAGAAATAACAAATACTTTCACGTGAAGTTAAAACAAATAAATTAATACAACAAGAAAGTGAAGCAAAATAGGTGGTTATTATACATATGAATGCCAATAAGTGTTCTTTAAGTCTAAAAGGCTTTGAAAGAAATGGGTTTGATCTGCTCAAATAACAGTAACCCCTCCTTCGTTCTGGCAAAAATGAAAAAGTATTCGAGGGATTCTACATTCTTGTGTCATTACTTAATTTTTTTGGCCAATTGGGTAGATACTAGTAACTTCAGTAAAAAATTAGATTATAAATTAGTTTCCATATCCTATTACAAATTGATCGTTTCTTTGGTCTTGTGATATTTTTTTAACGAGTTTCTAATTGTTTGTCTATCAGTAAATTGTGCGCTTTGTTATCCTGTCTCTAGAAGCTCAAATTAACTTCAAATATGAAACCTAAATGAAAACCATCAATCACGTATAAGTAAGTCATATGTTTTGGATAAGGAGAGACTATAAAGACGAGCAGTACCAAGTAAAAAAATTTATGATCAAGAAACTCGTACCTATAGACCTAGACATTGCAAGAACACCAAACACACGATGACCATTCCATTGTATCACCTTGCCTCCAGCTGCTTCAATTCTTGCATATTCATCATCCCGGTTAGGCTACCACATAAGAACCAGACATCAATTTTCCTCTAAGCAGATAAAATTTCAAAGATGCAGAACTATTGATAGAAATAGCTCACTTTATGATCCACTGACAATGCCATGGGTTCTTTGCCACGGCACAGAACTGCTCTTGAATCACCACAATTTGCAACAATGATATGAGATGCACAAATAATAGCAACAACAGCAGTGGAACCAACAGTTTCTGGAGCAACAGGCTCACAGTTAGCTTTTCCTCCAACTTCAGCATCAACCTTTAAGAAACAATTGGTGAAGGCTTTTTTCCACTGATCTTGAATGGTATCCTTAACACTTCCATTTATAAGAGCTTCTTTTACAAATTCTATTTCCTCAGCCAAAGCCAAATGGACACGGTCACGGCAATAATTTGCCACCTGTTAGGTGAAAGCAAACCCAGTGACAAAGGTTAGACATAAAAAACTTAAATGAGCGGACATAATGGCAAGAATTTAAGAAAGGACAATAAAATGACTTTACCTGAGAGCCACCATGGCCATCATAAACTCCAAAGAAATGAATTGTCTGCTGGCTCAAGCACTTGCTCATTCCATCAATGACCCTGTCACTGATTAGCATTTGAACAGGAATTTTCATAAATCGAGCCACAGTTGCAACTGCATCTTCCATCTCAGGTCTTCTTCCACACATAGAAATGAATCCCCAAAGTGGGGCATAATCTAATTCAAAAACACTACGACCAACTGTTCCACTCACCACTTTTTCTAGAGGCAGCTGAAGAACAACCGCAGAAGGTTGTGTGCCAGATCCAACTCCAGACTCTTCTTCAAGGCTCACTGCCACAGCAAGGGGTTCACCAACACTTTCTGGCTCAACATTAGACTCCTCTAAATCAGCAGGCCGGATACAAATGCTCTTCTCCATGTCAATGACACTTGGTGTCTTTATCTCAGAAGTAGCCTCAAAACTGAACGACTCCTCCCCACATATGCTACTGTTCTCGCTGACTACAGAAAGAGAACAAGAGCTGTCAATGATCTGATCACCCTCCAATGATATTGTATCATCATCCTCAATTTCTGGGGTTACAATTTCATCACCAGCAACTGATGTGCTTTTATCTTGGGATATCGTATCCAACAAAGGGATCTCTTCTTCCCTATCAGGTTTTGGTGCTGAGACTGCGGTAATGCTAACCTGATTCTCCAGATTCCCACCATT